GAATATATATCTGTATGTTTGTTTTAATATTTTTATTTAAGTAGTTTCAATTTAAATAATTTGATTAATAATAACATTGATTTCAATAATTTATATCGATTCGTCTGATTAAGCCCAAGAACAAGGAAAGTTAGTTAGCTTCTAAACAAAATATAAGTAGTGTGGGGGTGTATCACAAAAAACACAAACTTGATCTGCGTAGAGATAGGGGAAGCTTTGCTATATACCATGTGTGATTATTGTATCTCTTTTACTTGATGGGAGCCTTGCGTTGGTTTAGTCGGACATGGCTATACCGACACGACTTATTATACTAATCAAGAATATATAACCTTTCGGGGATATTCAACGCCTCCTTCTGTGTGTTACATACGTTCGCACAAACTAGTGCACTCTTTTACCCATACACGGTGTGCAAAGTACAAATTACACTACCTAATGTTTTAAATACAGCCCATTCATTGCAAATAGCCAGTAATTGGAGGTGCATACATACGAGTATGTACCTATGTATGTATGTACTACCACTTACTGCATTACGTGTACACATTATGTTCATAAATACGTCAAGGAAGCGACTGTTCAAATTTTGTCCACCTTTCGACCTTGCCCAACAACGTTTTCAGTCCAAATGGGTTGTGTTTCTCATTCGCTCCTTTGTTGCACTCATATCCTTTTGGACGCCTTGGTCGTCATCGTCGATGCCATCGTTGTCAGGCGGAAACCTTGAAGCGTATCGTATTTCCACAGTCCTATCGAATAGCACCCATGGAGCGCGTTAATGTTGTTGTTTAATTATATTGTGTATGGATGTGTGCGTGTATTTTTGCCAGCTCTCTTTTTCTTCTTAGCCATTAAATTTGCTGTGTCTTTGTAGCAAATGCAGCTTGTAATTATGACACGAGCTGCCTGCCAGAGAGCAGCGCGTGTTGATTTCAATTTTTTAATTGATATTTTTATAAAAGCGTGGCATACTTTTTGGGGCATAATGGTATCGAATATGGGCTGGTACTATTTTTTATGTAAACGACAATGAATGTATCAAACTACCAAAATGGCATATGTATCTTAAATGTTCGTACATATGTACTGTGTATATATGTTTTGAAGTTAACAGTTGTTGTTCACCTTATATACATAGATATAAATGCCTTATTGGCATATACTCTTGTGGTCTGAATAAAGTGAGACCAGACATCTTGTACTTCAACTTCTACAGAGTATAAATATGTACTATAAGATCAAAATTGCCCGTCGCAAACACGCAATTGAAACATGGCATATGCTCAGCAATTTTTACGATTCGATAATCACACTAAGAGTCAAGCATTTGGGGAATAAAATATATTGTGAGAAGCCCTAGCATTCTGAATACATTTCACGATGAGACAGATTGCATTTATATTTATCTTTAATTTGTTAGCAGTCAATTAAATCATGTTATTTGTGCAGCTATAATTTAAAGAAGATCCATCAGTCGTAGTCTTCCAAAAACAAAGCATGCATAGGAAGTTTGTCACTTAGCAATCATCTTCGAGTGTCGTGTGTCGGTGTTTTAATAAAAGGTTTATCTGAAGGAATTTGTGCCACCAAGATGAGTATTTTTAATATGTCTTTATTATTATTGTTTTAAATATATTTCAAGTTTAATATTAACTGAAATCATCTAAATTGTCTATAATAATAATATAAAGAGGAAACATTTGATTGTATGTTTGTTTGTTTGAATTGAAAAGGCTCCGAATCTACTAGACCGATTTAATGGATTCTTTCACTGTTGGGAAGCTAAACTATCGACGGTGAACATTGTCTATATTATATTTGCAAAAAAGAATAGAATCCTTACTAAATCGCCAATAATGTAACCAAAGATGTAAAAAAATTACCTTAAAAAACTCCTGAATAGCATGCTGTTAGTTCATTTTATATAATTTTGTTCAAATTTTAAGTTTTTCATAGAGAACAACTCTTTCAAACTCTTTCATACAAACAATTCCCAATAACAATTTCTCCAGGGTTTTAGAAATGTAAATGTGGTTGAAATGTTATCCATGGTTCCAAAAAGTATAGGTCAAAGTTACTGAATCTTTAGAACCGTTTTCTTCAGAATGTAGCGCTGTAGATGCATTCATAAATGCATACATACACCTACGAGTATATAGAACAGAGAGGCGGCCAGTGAGAATCTTTTAGCTAGCCAAAGCCATCCACGCTTTCTGCTGGCAGAGACCATCCAGCCAACTAGGCATCCAGAAAGCGAACCCAAAACGAGTCATGGCAAGCCAAACCCAACCCAGCTCATTCATTATAATACTTTTCTGTTTAATAATATCATTTGCTCAACTGCAAGCAAACGGCTACAATTTCAATTTACCGATCCGATTTCACGTGCAAAAACAACAACGACAATGTTGTTGCTGTTGTTGTTATTGTCGTGGGTCTCTGGCATTAAATTAATTTTGCTCATTTGCTCACAACCACACAGAAAATACGGAGAGTAATAGACAGAGAAAGAAAGAGAGAGAAAGAGAGAGAGAGATAGGGAGAGATAGGGCGAGATAGAGAGTGGTCAGTGATGCAAACAGTCGGTGGCCATTTGTTGCTCACTCGTTAAAATGATTATAAAAATTTATCAATATAATATTACATTTTATGCTTCAGCTTTCAGCCATACAAAGTTGGCGTAATCGCCAGCTCTCCGTTTACAAATGTGAATGTGGCCCGCAATGGAGCGATGCCGCAGCGAGGAGGGTGTAACAAAGTTTCAGTGAATTTTGTAATCCAAATCTGCCGAACTCCATACAGAAAAACACATACACGGACAGACACTGAGACAGAAACAGTCGCAGTCGGAGTCGCAACACACAATGCTTCTGCATATTTGAAATGCTCTCATCATGCAACCGAAACTGAACAGAGCATTGCTGGCGTTCTTGGTTCTCGTCCATCATTTAGCTGGAAACGGCTCATGTCGTATCACTTGCATTATGGTTTAAGATTTTGAGGTAAATGGATACTAATGAGTTTGTACTATGCTCATTTGGACTTATGTTTGTATGAAGTGGTTCATTGGTGGTTTGCAAATAGCTTTGTACAAGTAGTTTAAGCCAGCTGGCTGTAAGATAACTTGAATACATCCACTATCGATTAATGAGAAGCACAATCTATGATTACTGCCAGTTTGGTTGCTAGTTTTATGACCATGCTCTTAAAAAATAACTAGCTATAGCTCAGTTGAACTTAAAAAATGTGACGACACGAATCTTCCTGAACTTTTCTAAGCTACTTGTATATACAACATGCGTATGATATACTATAAGCAGAAAACTCTATTGGCTGATGGAAATCCGATTTGAGGACATTTAGCATCTTCAGATCTTCAGCAATTTATAAAATAACATGTTCAAATACATGACCATACATCAAAAGAGATTTAAAAAACACCAATCCTTCAGAATAAATCACATACTCTCGATCGAACACTCAAATAACATGAATACTATCTACTACACGTTCGATTCATATGCTTCATTTAATTAATTGTTAATTTTATACGTGTGGTATTAAATTATGGAAATTTTGGAAGCGAAATAATTATATATGAATTAAAAAACTACGCATATTGCATATCCGGCATTCACCGGGCCCAAAAAAATTAATACCATGTTCCGACGCCTAAACCATTCAATGAGATATTATTTTCCTGTTAAGATAAATCATCCATGGTCATTATATAAGTTTATAGCCGTTATGTCTAAAATGTACGGAAAAGAATGAAAATTTATTACTTGCTTTCTTCGTTAAATATCTTTCTCATAGTAATAGCGCTCACTCTTCTGACAGTAAATTACTTCATTATTATTTCACGCCTTACACGTAGTTGTCTTTAAGATAAAACCCTTCCTATATGTATTTATGGGATCAGATTTGTTGCCTTCTACCTGTTACCTCAACCTTTGCATAAACCGAGTACTTATATCCTCATCGCCCTTTCCATAATCGGTATAAGAAGCATATGATGTGGGCATGAGGGATATAACAACATACTAAATTCTCAATAACATACTACATTTTATGTATTGAATTGCTGTGTATACCTTTATTTTTAATCCCAATAATAAAAAAAATATTAAAGAAACAATCGAATCAACCAAAGTCTAGTATTCTATGTAAATGAATACGCCCAACATAAAAAGCATAATTACATAATGGGGAAAATATTCAAAAACCGTTTATAAAACATCGTACGAATATATGAATTTATTATAGAAGATAAAAAAACAATATATATTGTATTTGCTATACATGTATATCAGTATTTCACCAGTGCAAAAATTTTAAGTATTTAGTTTAGCGGAAGTGAATAAAAAAGATTATTAATTATAAGTTATTTTATTTAATTAATTGGAATTTAATTTCTGGATATTAAATGTCCATAGAATACCCATTTAAAAACTATCTGTGATAGTGATAGTCTGTGATACTTCTGCTTACATAGATATATATAATTTTGAATGTCCTCTATAAGTAGAAATAAAAACAAATGAAATTGTTTTCTTAACATTGTTTTAATGATTAGTTTGCCTACCTCGAACTTGTGTCCACTAATTATATGCGTAATAGTAGTACACATTATGAATTTGTCTAATCATTCCACAAATAAAAAATATATAAAACATAATAAAACAACATTGACTTGAGAAGCGGAAAAAAAATGTCAGAGTCAAATGCATATACAATATATTTTACTATAATACATTTGCTTTCGCTTTGTATTGCTTTTACGAGTGTTTTGTGCTGTGCATGCACATATGAATATATTTATATCCTTGTTATTGAATACTGCTTAAAAATGTTTCGTTGACAGCAGCAATTAATTATAGAATAATTTGCTTGTGCGTGAATAAAAATAAAATGTTAGAATGAGACGAAATTTTGGTTTAATTTTTTGCGACTTTTCTCGGTTTATTCATTTGCGCATCAGGGCTCTACAAACTTACCTTTATCTCATCGCTGGGCAATTCCTTTTTGATTTGAACGCCGACGACGCTTGGAGTGCCAACGCTGACTGCAGCCGAGGGCCCGACACTTGCAGTTGCATCGCGGGAGTTGGAAGGCGAGGCTTTGGCGGACATTCTTTCACAATGTTGGGACCAAAATGTTTTCGGCTGCAACACAACAACAATTGGGAATTAAGGCCAGATGCATGTATATCTTAAAAATGCATAATACGGCTTAAAAGATTTTCAGTGTGGCGGTAGAAAGATAAACAAACAAACAGAAAAGTCGTCTAAATACATATACTTTTTATCCTACATATGGGAGCATTTATCTAGCCAGCACTTGGGAGCAAGCAACACCTTCGCCAACGTTCTTGGAAACCCACACTTATACACAAACTTCCTTCCATCATTCGATAATTAATTACAGCGTCGTCTTTATTTTCACACATAATCGTGCTAGTAGCTTCGCATTCGTTTCGATCAGCCTCTGTCTATCTACACATGTATCTGCCATGCTTTGCATATTGTTTCGCATCTATTGGATACGCACGCAAGCAGATGACGGCGGCGATGAACGCGAGGCTGAGTTCTGCTTTGCCCGACGTTCTTCTTCTTGTTGCTGTTATAGTTGTACTTGATATCTACGGCGGTATATTTATATACCACACGCGTGAATATGTGTGTGTGTGTGTGTGTGCGTGAGTGGATTTGGTTCGGGCGCACTTTGGTGTCTTGTAATTTAATACCCCATACGAATGCTTCCACCTATCGCATGACACAAAAATAAAATTCGAAATACAAAAACAAAAACAAAGCGACAACATAAACAAACGCTAGTAAAAAACTAAAGGGCCAGATTTTCATTTCGAAACAAGAACTATAGCTAATGCAAAGACAAAAAGTATGCGTGTGCGATTAAAAAAAAGATAAAACAGATCTGTTATTAATGGTATTTGAAAACTTAACGAATAATAGTATTGAATCGAAACGGATTTAAAATGTAATTAAAAAACGGATTTCGTATAAACAAAAATATCCTTGTAGAGTTATTCTCCGAGAATTCTGAATATGATGTAGTGTTGGGCCGGTAAATATGCAAATACAAAACTAACTTATATTTAATAAATAAATTATATATTTTTCCAATTTTGAAACAAATAGATGATTCATCGCCAGACCTCGAGTCAGCAAGATCGAATGATCAGGCAAAAGGTCAAATATGTAACGTATGTACGCAGGAAATATTTTTCTGCTTTCAAATGAAGGAATATGAGCTGAAGCTCTAAAATTATATCTTTGAAATATTGGCCAAACATTTACTCCTAATAGAATACCTGACATGGTGTAATCAATGAAGCAATCAATCATTCATCAGTATATTTCAACATTTTACACAATTACGTAATATGAGAAACATTCAAATGTATTTTGAGACAAAAACAAAACGAAACAAACATGATGTCTTCCCGCTCTATTGCAATATATACGAATATGTACATATATAAAACGCAATATGAAATTGTTACCTATAGTTATTAGTCATAACATTTCCTAACACACCGTATTTACATATGAATCTTATGTGAAGTAGACTTCATTTGCTTGCCCGCTATTTATAAATTCATTATATACTATATAATATTTAGATATTAATATTTTAATAACAACATTTTATCTGATTCTGAGAGTTACTAGATATCGATTCTGTAATTGATTTCGATCACCTAAACAAAATGTTTCATATAATGTTCCTTTGCACTCCTAGTAAATGCTTTTATTACAAAGAAGATTTGTGATGTAGTATGCGTGATTCAATTGAAAGAAATATTGTTTCAGCATTTCTTTTACTATCACAAATCAATGATTTTTTAAAACTCTTTAAACATTTGTCACTTAAGAACTCTCTTCATATGGTATCTCTTCCTATTTATTATTGTTATTATTAAATATTCGTTTATTGCATGCACTATTGTTTTCATTCCGCTTTGGGCTTCTCGCTTCTGCTATCTGCTTTGTTTGCTTTCAGAACATTCCACATGTTTTTGACTTTTGCTTTTTAAAAAACAACAATTACGAGACACAAAGATTTGTAAAAGCAACATAAAGTTGTTGCACACAATACAACTTTTTAGTATGCATACGTATTTACATCTTAATGTTGCCAGTATTTTGTTTTTGAGAAAATTCACTTGAACAAATTTTTCCAATGCAATCGTATATATTCCAAAAATAGCATTATATTTTCAACATTTCATTTCGTATATTTTCTTTTTCTGTATTTTCGGCCTTTCAGCTTTTCACACTCACAATTGGCTTTTGCTTTTTGATTTGATTCTTCTTTTTACACAGACAACAACATCTAGGAAAACCGCGCACACATTTTCACTTTTCTTTCACGTAAATTTTTCCGATTCTGAGATATTTCTCCCGTTTTGCCTTGTATTTCCCGCTCGTTCTTCGTTCTTCTCAGTTTCTCGTCGGTCCGCACGCGGCCGCGTTTCACGTACAAATGACGGCTGCCAGCATTGGCATGTTGACTTTTACTTGCCTGCCTTTGGTGCTCTTGCTGCTGCTGCTTCTGCTGCTGTCGCTGCCACCGACGCTGCCTCTGCTGCTGCTGCTTCGGCTACGGCTGCTGTATGGTTTGCGTATGCGCAGCTGTGGGTCTCCCTACTGATGACGTATTGTGTTGGCGCTTTGTCGCTGCATTCAATATGATGATTCAAAGGCTGGTTGTGTGCGTGTGCCTCTTTGATTTCGATTCTCTGCTCATTTACCATTAAGAATTTTCCGTCTCAGGCAAATGAAAATGAAAACGAAAACGCTTACCAAATTATCTATGCACATCGTATTTAAATCGTTGCATATTTACATACATGTGTCTATATGCATTTGGTCTATGCATGCTATACATAGTTAAAAATAAATTGCATGCATTTCATGTTTGCCGACGCCTTTGAAGAGCAAGCAATACCTGCTACCTGTCTTTTGTTATTGTTGTTGTTAATACTACAACTATGTATTTTTGTTGTGCTGCTCAAATTTATTATTCTGTTGTGTCTAATTTCTTCTAATTAATTGGAATATGCATACTTTTGTGGCATTGTAGAGATCAAAGAACTGTAATGAAGAAGCACTAACAACGCTTAAAAACAAATACATATTGAAACACAATAAATTAATTCGTGTTTGTAGTAACCATTAAAAACATATTCACTTTTGTCCGAAAAAAAAAACATTTTGTATAGACATAATGCAAAGACATAAAAAAACGTCACACGTTGCTAATCGTACAATGATAGCAATAAACTGTGTTGCTTTTTGCGATTAGCACGGAAAAAAACAAGTGGAAAATTTAAAGTTGTGTGCCTCGACTTCCGTTCTGCCATCCCCTCTCCTCCATCCAATAAAAATACAAAATATCCTAGTAAAGATTTAAAAGGAAGCACGCGAATTTTAATAGCACGAAATATTAGCGATCGAGCCTCAATAGCAGCGATGTACGTTGCATTGTATAGTAATTAATTATCTAATTAATGAAATAAACTTTCACAGCGTGCACATACTTATTACTAGGCACATTTGTGTGCCTGTTAAATTTTCCTCCTAAACTCAATATACTCTTGTAATAAGTACTTATAGAAATGTAAATGAATCAAAGTCGGGTTGAATATTTTTATTTTATTTAATGAATTAATATTTTTTTAATTACTTAAAAAGAAAATGTAATTATTACATAAGTTAAAAAAACAACTTACATAAAAAGCATAACTGAAGGCTGGTGAAAAAGGTTTTAAATTATTTTAGGCTTCATAAAAGATGATGATGTTAATGACATCTGTTTGAACCAACAGAACATAGCCGGGTATAAATTTGTGATATTCGTTAGTCTACTTGTAAATAAGATAAATAAGATATTTAAACAATATTTTTGGTTTAAAAGTGAAATAGATCAATAAATGTTATACTATCTGAAGTAACTATGTAAGTATATGTATGTATCGACACAGTCATCACAAAGATAATCAAACTAATGGCATGAAAAGCGGTAACGGGAATAATCTTAAGTAGCCTTGGCTTGTTTCTCTAGAATACAAGTACATCTTGCAGGCTTTTTTTTAATGTATTCATAAAATAATTTCCACACTATATTAAACTCCCTTATAGAATCTCCTTATGAAGTTTGATGATAACTATTTTCTACAATATGTAGTCAAAACATTAGCAGGAATTCAAACTTTTGATTGTGATTCAATAATCCTAAGTCCGCCTGTTCCATACTCTCGTAACTGAAGGTGCCGATATAATTACAAAAAACAGCTGGCTATTGTCGTACCATCTTCATCTAGCACCACTGAAAGCCGCCGTGGCTAATAATGGTATGCCTGGCAGTATTCTAAACTAAAGTACCAGTCGCCCTTAGTGGCAGGTGGCAAGTGCCAGACCATTCAGAAAGCAGACCTAATCACACTCACATACCCAGGGCTGCTTACTCGTACTTCTTGGTTTTTCATCGGCAAAGTGAAATGTGTTTTGTATTTTCTTTATTTGCCAAGATATAAAGATATAAACTAAATTGTGGTGTCTTCGTTTGAATGGCACAGCGTAATGATCGCAAAGTTACAAAGCAGCTGCTGCATCAATCACAGATGCATTTAGTACAAAACATTTTATTTAATTTTGATGCAGCCCATTTATACAGATTAATACTTTATGTCTGTGGCATTTAATACAATGCATTTAGTTTAATTTTAACAGCAGCTAGATAGAATTACGCCCACCGACCCACAGCCAACAAGTAGTGCTGACAAAAATATATGTGTGTATGTATGTATATACTTTCCGAATGTGTCTTGTGTTGTGGTGACGGCTATCATGAAAATTTAAATTGTTGTTGAAATGGTTTCGTAATCGAAAAATGACTTTAGACTGTGCATATCAGTGCCTAAGATCCACCCTTATAACAAACAATAAATACTATATCAAATAAGCGTGTCGTATCTCGCATTAATATGAACATATGTACAATGTATTTATATTTTCCTGCACAAGATTGCAGTGCACTTGCACCGACGCCAAAATAGAAATGACAAAACTACATGCTTTCATACTATACGCCCCTTTTATTTCGACCACTTTTTTGGTGATATATAAGTTGGTACATCTTCTAAGACAATTAATACATATGTATATAGAATAAGTAACAAAAGTCGAGCAAGTGCCGGGGGCACTGAGTTATATGCGCACATAACAGAATCAAATAGAGAAAGATTCTCTTCTAACAAACTTGATGTTGAAGTTCGTGGCGTACTGGAGTAAAAGAAAAACTGTTTAAGCCCGAGTTACTACCCAGATATAGGTTGACACGATTGAGCTTTAAAATATTGGCAGGCTGAGTGGTGAAATATCATATTAAGCGACTATATGTTTAATCTGGATGACCCAAATGGTAACCAACTCTATTATTAACACATTGGGCGGCCTAAGAAGCCGTGCAGGGCAACAAATTTTCATGACAAAATGACGGGATGTTTTCTTTTATTAAAAAATTGTTTGTTCGTGTAACAAGAAGGGGCAGCCAAATCGTGGTAGACCCCATAAAGTATATTCGTGGTGTGTTCAAAAGGAAAGGGGTTTCCTTCGATTACACTGCGTTTGCACCATGAGTTTTTGCCAACAGGTCGTACGGTAAATAAGGAATACTACAAGGAAGTGTGGAAAATTTATGCAGGATTAGAAGAAGTACTGGCATAAGTGCATTATACCTGAGGAGATTTACTCTGAAGGGGACAAAATGAATTTTGATGAATAAAAAACATTCGCAAAAGAATTCAAAATTCATAAAAATTTCGCCTTTTTATACTCCGTACATGAAATGTACAATAGTATATTAGGTTTGCGGGAGCTGAAAAATGTAACAGGCAGAAGGAGGCGTGGCAGACCCCACAAAGTATATATATTCTTGATCAGCATGACAGGACGAGTCGATCTAGCCCTGTCTGTCCGTCTGTCAGTCTGTCCGTCTGTCCGTCCGTATGAACACCTGGATCTCAGAGACTATAAGAGATAGAGACACCAAATTTTGCACAAAGATGCGTTATGTGTGTATTCTATACGAGTTTGTTTTATTTTTTTGATTTTCCCCCCCACTTCCCCCCTATGGGGGTTTTCCCGATTTTCCATTCGTATAATCGCCTATATCTCGGAGACTATAAGACCTTGGAACGCCAAAATTTAGTCCCAGATGCCTTATGTGAATACGCAGAAAATGTATATTTTGGAATTTCCCTCCCTCCCCCTCTACCCCGCAAATCGTAACTCCCGTAATTCTTGGAATTTCGAACTAAAATTAGTTATTATGTGTTAGTTAGTTAGAAGTTAGTTAGTTGTATGTATGTATGTATGTATGTATTATCCGTATGCCAAGTTTCACTATGATAGACCGATTTAACAAGAAGTTATAGCTATAAATATATTTGCTGCTGCAGCGCTGCTCAAGCGCTGCCCGCGGCTGTTGTTGATGTTGCTGTTTGGTTGACTGCGAAAATGCTTACACAGACACGAATAGATGCGCATAGGCCGATACACTCACACAGACGCAATTGCTATGTAAATGTGCAATTTAGTGCTGTGCGAAACATCGATGTAAAATCGATACATCGATGTTTTGCAATTTTTTCCAAACATCGATGTTTTATTTCCGATTTTCGATGTTTTTTACTACTTGAAAAAAAATCGCGGGAAAAGCTAGGTAAGTAAAAGCTAAAATTTGCATTTTTTTAATAAATCCCCTAATATAATACAGAACAAATTACTAATATTATAGATGGATATTGGTGTTGGCAGTGCTTGGAAATGGAGAAGTTTTTAAAAGAATCTAATAGCAAAGGTAATTTTTATCTTGCAGCTGCAGTCTTATTTGTGTATGTGTATTTTCATTATTTGTACATATATTAATATGTTGTTCTATGTAATGCAAACTCAACTGAAATGGATAAGGAACTTGAGGAAGGTGGTCCTAATAAACGGGCAAAATATGGAAAGTCAACTGTGTGGAATTTCTTCTTTAAGTCTAAGGATGGCAAGTCTGCTAAATGCCTTAAATGTGGTAAAGTGTATCAAACATGTGGCAATACCACCAATTGAAGAACTACCAACGACCTCAAGCTCTATTTTGTCGTTTATAGACAAAAAATACGAAGCATTTTATTTACAGATCTCAAAATATACTTCTGTACATTTCATGTACAGAGTATAATGATAAGTCCCTTAAGGCATGTATATGCAAGTACCTCTGCGTTCCTGCAACGTCCACTGAAAGTGAGCGCATGTTCAGCAAAGCTGGACTTATAGTTAGCGAAAAAAGGAGTTCGCTTAAATCAAAGAATGTAGACATGCTCATTTATATTAACAAAAATGAGTGGATCTCAAATAATTAGTCATGAATTATATTTTTTATGTTATGCTTTTCATTTTGTTATACTTGTATTCTTTCAATTTATGAAAATATTGTTTTGTTGTTTTATCTGAAATTAGTCATTAACTATAATTTTTTATGTTATACTTTCTCTTGTTTTTAGTTTATTATTTGAAGTTATAAAAATATCGTTTGTTTTAAACCCTTTTGTACCTTTATAAATAAGACAAATCAAAACGAAGTGCCCTATGTTGTATATTAATTTTTGTTTGAAAATTTGTTAGTGGAATTTCGATGCATCGATACATCGATGTTCTTCCCCCAAAAAAATCGAAACATCGATGTTGGTAAACATCGATGTTTCCCCAGCTCTAGTGCAATTATAAACCCTTTACGTGAGTTCGAGTGAGTTTTTTTTTTATTTTCTTAATTTTTTTATTTTCTATAATTATTGTAAACATATGTACAGAGTATTTCAAAGTCGGGACACCCGACTTTAGCTTTTTTACTTGTTAAATTCATATAATTATATACATAGGGGTCGGAATATTTCAAAATCGGAGCACCCGACACTAGCATTTCCACTTGATTTTTCTATTAATTCTGGTAATGCCTCACCATTATCTATAACCATATGACAATTAGTAAGATACATATATATAAAATAGCTGCTATAGGAATGTCTTGTACAACCAAGATTATATGTTAGATTTTATTGGAATAACGTACTACTAGTGAGAAATTGAGTCACAGAAATCGCTGTATTGTTACAAAATTCTAATTTTATCACCGTGAATATAGGATACAAAACACTGTCCATTGTAGTATGACACAATTTATCATATCTTCAATAGTTGTAGAGTGGAATTATTATTATACGGTACTATATAGCCTTTGAAGTTTTTATATCCATTTCGGAATATATACAAGTATATTAAATGTGTGTAAATAAATTATTGTTTCCAATTTTGCGTCGAATTTATGACAGAAATGTATATTTAATGTATTCCTGATGGCGGTTTTATAATTTGTATTGTAGTATTGTATAAAATAAATTATGTTTGATGAAAGTTTGGTTTATAAAAGTGCATTTTTTACGCACATCTCTAAAACCAATTATCTATATAGCAAACGCAACGCAAAATATGTACATACGTGAGTTACTACCCTGACAACGATAAAACAATTTTGAAAACATTTTGTTTTTTAAATATTTTTTTAAACATTTCCTCCTAACTCGACACACAAAAAGTTTTCGCAGTCCTACTCGTGAAAATTGTTGTTCACAAAGGTTTTAGCCTCCTTTCAGGATATTTTCTGTACCCTAAATGGAACTTTGAGCTAAGGGAATAAAAATAAGTCAGATGAGGCTAGGTCCGGAAAGTAAGGAGGGTGCTGATTCCATTGCAACTGCAGATTTGTAGGATATCTCTTTTGATAGAAAGTGAACAAACGCGATACGCTACGTGACGAGAGCTTATGTCCATTTCAATTTGAAATATTGGCTGTCATCGCCTACAGCACCCCATTCTTGATTTGTCATAGATCCCATCCCCATTTTAGAACCAAAACACTTACTACAAATAATTATATACCAGAAGAACGTATTGCGTTTTCAGATATGCCCATTGCGGCAACTTACAACTTAACCAAAGCAAATTCCGACAACGTTAACAAAGTTCTTAACATAACAACCTTAATTTCCAGGAGATGTACAAATGCATAGCACCAAGCCGAATGAAATGTAACTCTCCGGCCCCTTCATTGACCAACGGACATCAAGAATATAATAGATGTGGTGCAATTTGCAATAAGTTTGCAAAGGAATTTAAACGTATGGTCGACTTTGTACGGCAAAAATTGTAGTAGGGGGGGCAATGACCCTGCCCAATTTGCACGTAAATCGTTGATTGACGGTCAGTGTCCACCCAAAATCCCTCTCACTATTTTTTTTTTAAGTGCGGTTACAAAATTCTATGATCTATATCTTTAAATATTGGTATTAAAATTCCAAAAATAAGTTGCTGGAGCTCAATTAAATAGCGAAAGAGCGCGCCCAATGACCAGCTGCTTGTCAGCTGTAGAGGTAGCGTTGCCACTTAATACAAAACGTTTAAGAATAATACAAATTGTATAAACAACAAAACTGAAATGTTAACATGTCGAAAATACCCAAGACAACTCTCAATATAAAACAGGTAGATATAACCAATCGAAAAAAAAACCACCTACTCTAAAATTACTTCCAGTTTATGCTGCGACAGGAGGTGTTAAAGCTTTACCGTGATATTCTTCGCACCATACGTCAAGTGCCGGACAAGGGTAGTCAGTGGGAGTTGCGCTCCTGGGCCCGTCATGACTTTCAAAATAATCGAGGACAAACCGACGAAGTGGCTATAAAAATGCTGTTGCAGCATGGTCGACGGAGCCTTGGCGAGCTACAAACGAGTCTGGAGCTGAGTGGCGTGGTGAAAAATAAGGGCAAATAAGGAAAATGCCTGTTTATTTGAGCCTGACAAACGATGCATTACAACCATTACAAATAAATATTAAAAACTAACACATTTCCGTGTCCAAAGCTATAAAACCTTTAAGGTGCTACAAATCGTTGTCTTTATATGTGAGCTTGTGTAATAGCAGTCTAGCGTCTTGGTGAATTGGTACATGTTAACTATGGTTTATAGCATTTGTGCTGTTGAAGAAGCTTACGCTAAAAGTGGTCGCAACATGCCCAGCGCGACTTTGAGCAGCGCTAACGCAAAGAGTAGCGAGCCTACGCTGGTAATGATCAGCGAAATAAGATCCCGCTTCGCATGCTGCTCCACGCGTCCAATGAGAAAGCTGTGAATTACGGTGCTAGTGATGTGAGCACCATCAAAACCAAAAACGGGTATTGCATTGACGAGCGCCAGGCCAATGCTAAAGACCACATTGTATTTGAGGAGTAACGCAATAGTATCCGGCCAGGCGGAGCTCACATGTTGATATCGCGGTACAAAACCGGAGACGACAACAGTGTGAAGCACATCGCGCGGATGTCCCACGTATATGACCGGCGGCAGTGCTTTTTGCAACAGATTTTGGCGCTTGAAGGTCAGTATTGTCGTAGTGTTGCGCATTAGGGGACGCAGGCAAAAGCCCTGTCCACACATACCCACAGTGCAGTAGTCCGTCGCATCTTCCAAAGTTCGCCGCACGTGCAGACAAACATGCTGCGGTATCTCCAGTGGCGCATCTGCCGTAAGATCCTCAACGTATTCAAAGCAGCTAACATTCGGATTCAGTTCATTGCAGCACTGCAGTGTGCCATCGGCGCCGTGATGCGATATGTCAATGCTCTCGTCATTCATTCGTATGAAATCAGAGCTCACACAGTAGCCCAAACGCACACGCAATGCATTATTTAGGCAGGCGTACCAGCTGTCTTCACTTGTCACAGGACAATCGTTAAGCTGCGTGATCACATCTTGCAGTTGAAGTCCACGTTCAGTTGGTTGTTTAGTCCGCAGAGGCGACTTCGGTGTTATCTCCGTCACAATAACGTGTTGGTTGTAGATAAAGAGCGGTGACATGGTCATACCCATAGTGGATATAAGCAAATAGCAGAAGCCGGCAAACAGAAAGTTGTGCCATATGCCTGCACAAAGAATTCTTAGCTTGCGAAACCAGCGTAGTCCATTTAGATGATCATGCGAAAGCTCCGTATATGCCAATGGTATACAATAATAGAGCTGCAGAACAGATTAAAGCCAATGAGAAATTTCATCACCATCCCGTACCAGCACTTTAAACGTACCTTAAAACCGAATCCAGTAACTGGAACGTCCTCTAACACGGCGGCCAGCGCATGACCAAGCTCATGCAATACAGTGCACATGACTAGAGTGGCTATGTAGTATCCAATCTCTTGCAGTGGTAAATTGACACCGGGCAGTAATATTTCAAGTTGCCCAGGAGATGTAGTAGCCGACGTTGCCATTACATTGCTGCCGCCTTGGGCCCCACCAAATATAGTTATAATCAACAATATGATGCCAATAGGTAGCAACAAGAAGGCAAGTAGCATGCCCACATTAAAGCTTTTGACTAGAAAATTTCGTGTGCAACTGTTCCCGGCGGATCCCCACCGCAAAAGCATGCGATTAAAAGCGCTCGTGTGCCAATGCAGACTCATGAAATTTACCGTCAGTCCAGTGTTGCGCAAAAAGGCATCATAGGGATAGTGCATGCAGCTCTGCAAAAAGAATGCAAGTGTTATTTAATTCCATTGGCCATTAATTGCAATATGTGAAATGATCACACACCTTAAAAAAACGATCAAAAAAGTATATTGCGGCATACAACGACGTGAGCACTACAAAGAATACCACGGGATCCATACTGTTTCAGTTTCGGCTGCTGATGTTAAAGCTGCTAACGGGCTTTGCGTTCAATTTCACCAACATTATACAAAAACTGAACGCATGTTGACTGCAGCCAGGATTAAATTGTTTGAATTGTTTTCATGTGAACATTGGACATCAACAACAGCTGTTTTCTATTGTGAACGTTCGCTTACAATGGTGCTGCCAGCCTAACTCAAAATTTGGAAGCGCTAATCTGCCACCTTGTTTTCAGCGAATAACAAAACATACGGTTTGAATTTGATTACTTTGAACAAAATTTTCCTCTTTGCTAAATTTGTCAATCTGAAAGTAAAACTATGCCCAGAATTGACACATTCATTTTAAAGTATCCAAGACTATTACAATGCTGGACCGTGGCTATTGGAATCCTATCGATTCCACCAAGTATTTATATTATATACTACATATTTTTTTTAACAAAATATCATCATATTCTTTGGCTCGTTCTTGATATAATTTTCTTGATATTTTCCATAGCCTATGTAATTACTTCCCTCTTGATAGTTGTTGGCGCCTTAACCGTAAGCACTGTAAAACCTTAGGTTTTAAATAGCTATCCATTTTGTATTTCATTCCAGAAGCGTACCGGATTGCTAATTCCTTGGATGACACTCGTTGTTGTAGGCTTCCTCATATATTTTAACGCTCTCCTCCAAATTTGGCCGGTTATTCCAAGTCTATTAGTATCCGCACGTATGTACCCCCTAATGGCACTAAATTACTTGAATTCAACTAATAATTAGTTCGCAGTTTTCCAATTTATCTCTGTTACTGTAGTGCTGGAGCTGTACATCTTACTTAGAAACGAATCACTCGTTGAATGACAGCGCACTGTTTGGTGTAAATATTGTTTTGTGCAATAAATGAAATGACAATCTACATACATATGTATGTCCATATATCTTTCCAATCAGAGACCATCAGAAATGCCACTGGTGCCTACCAATTTGAAAATGCTAACGGATGTGTTCGGTATCAGGAGCCGACTTCGACATGCATATGAAGGCCTCACACTTTGCTAAATCTGTCAAATTCACTATGAAACTATGCCCAGCATAAAAAACTGTTACGCAAGCTTTAAGAAACTGTTCCCATACTTCACTATATTCATAGCTTGCATATCAATGACAGTAGGCACCTCCACTGTGGTAATATTAGCGTTCTCAAATGAAAAAGAATGGATGCTGATCGTGGATATATGCTTGGGAATCGTGGCAATAATTTATACCTTTGCGTCGCTATTGCTTCTCCTTGGTGTCCTAATGGTGAGCACGAAACCATTCTGAATGTCCAGTTTTACTTTTTCAATAACCAACAGAAACGAGTCCATTTATTCATCCCCTATATAGTTTTCATAGTTGCGGGTATCGTCGTATTCACATTTGTCATTGATATATTTATGCAATTTAATACTAGTCTTCTAATTGCTGCAGGTAAGGCGTGTCACTTTAATGTCATTTCACATTCTAATATATAGTTTTTAGTCGTGAACTTTGTATTCATAGCGATTGTGATCGAGCTATACAATATAAAAACCAGAATTCCACCACCACCTGTACGGGACAGAAATCATACCGAAAGTTTCGCAGCAAGTACAACGGCAGGCGCAGTTTGAGGGGATAAGCAATTGTTTTTTAATCTACATACATATATGTAAAAAATGAGCAAGAGTGCTCGTTTGCATCGAGTGCTTTGGTAGCCTTAATAATTATTGGAAGCAAATTATAAATACAGGAATGTCGGCTTGGAAAAATAAAACAAAGCCTTTTGAGTTTCGGGCGGTGTACACCACTTACTAATTTATACTTCAATTATTTATTAAACAAGTGTACCAATGTATGTATGTGTAGAATAAATTTATAAATTTACAATAAAAACAGTTGTAAAAAAACACACACAACGAAAACTTTTTGATTACATACCTTGGTACAATATTTGGTGACTCTAGGTCTAATAGTCCCTAAGATCTACATAGGTTTTCGGATGAACTGATAAGGCAAAATTTAAATTAAACAATAAGCCAACAATTGAAACCTATAAAATACATACAAATATAGTTGTCATTCCATCTGTTTCTACGAAGCGATTTCGAATGGTATAACAGAATTTCTAATATATTCTAATCTTAGAACATAATCATATAAATTCTCATAATTCGGGGCCTTCTAATATGTTTTCCAAACATTTGAAAAAATTTCAGATAACATCAATAACGTCCATTTCCCAGGCTGATCTGATAGCAGCAGTGCAGACTTCTCCCCCAACCTACAGCATAGGAAACGAGAGACGAATTTCTTGGGCTATACGAAATTTTGAGCCCTATAAATTAACCGGTCCGGGCGGCATTGTCCCGGCCTAACTTCAACGCTCTCAGAAATAGAAAACTCACTTTCTATCAAATCATTCTATTTATCAACTTATTGGTTGCCTTTCTCCACATAGCGGGCGCCTTCTATAACATACTGCCCTCTGCAAGTTTGTCAGCAGAGGCACTCCACAGTGCGGGGTTCTCTCTCCTCTTCTGTGGTTGCTGACAGTCAATCAGCTGCTACGCACTATGAAGTCGGAAGGTCATGTTGTCATTGCATACGTGGACGATGTGGCCTTAATTTGCAAGGGCGTAGGCAGCTTTTACCAAAGGGGGGAGCCAAAAAATTAAAATTTAGATTAAATAATGCACGATGCATTTAAAAAATAACTTATGCATATGATCAATGAAAAAACTTCAACAAATCCAACTCAGTTCCTTTTTGAGGCGAAATAATGCGTCTTAATAATGAACGTGTGGTCGACTTTATATGGCAAAATTTTATTTGCCCTGCCTACGCCTTTGTTAATTTGTAACGGCAAGTTTCCGCAGACACTGTGCAACCTGGTGGAATCAGCATTCACTTTAGACTTTTTCGGGGTAACTTCCAATCCATGTATCGGCATTGCAGGCACTAACACATTCATTAATTCTACATAAAGGACTATTCACATACATGTGGACATTATCTGCATACATGTGGAACTGTATTTAATATGTGGGGGACATACAGGTATTTCAGAACATTAGGGAGCAGCAACTGAAATACTTAATTTGGAATGTATCTCGTCTACGCCAATAGCGTTGGACTTACTTTTAGGATTGAGTCTGAGACATTACATTACATCTACGTAAGCACCAATTGAAAGTCAACTTTTCCCAACCCCTATCCTTTTTATTTCCGCCCAATCTTGTTTAGATGGAGTGGCTGAATTGAATTAAACAGAGTATTGGTCACGCTTAGCATTGACAATCTTCAGCCCAACTATCAGTCTCAATTTTTATACCCTGTACCCGTAGGGTAAAAAGGGTATATTAGGTTTGTGCAAAGTATGTAACATGTAGAAGGAAGCATCTCCGACCCCATAAAGTATATATATTCTGAATCAGCATGACGAGAGAAATCGATCTAGACATGTCCGTCCGTCCGTCTGTCCGCCTGGATGAACGCAAGGATCTCGGAAACTATAAAAGCTAGAATAACCAAAGTTGGCATCCAGATTCTCCTAGGTCCGAGAAAGGACGAGTTTATTTTTATTTTTTTAATTTTCCCCCCTTCCCCCGCTACAGAATTTCGTCAATAGGGTACACATTTCAAATGCTACCTAAACCAAACTTTGCACACCTAATTTGTATATAATTATCTACTGTTGTTTAAAATTTTAAAATTTCAATTCGGTCAATTCTAAGAAAAGTTATTAACAAAACAAATTCTCGCCAGTACAATCCCACCCAAACTGCAGCAACAAGTTCGCTCTTCTTCCTCTTTTTGCTGCTGCTATGGGCGCAAATAACTCAGTGACGGAAGTTTACCTGGGTACAGGGTATTACACTGTCGGGCTTGCTCGACTGTAGCGTTCTCTCTTGTTTAAATTGTGATAAGTTAGCGGTCGCACTGCCGAAACAGATTGCGAAAACAACAAATTTTATGAAATTTAATAATTGCCCGACCTAGGACAGATCTTAAAGAAAGATTATAAACTTAAAAAAAAAAGAACTATATCACAAGTACAAGTATTAGAGAAATGTGTAGGTACAATAGTGTTTACTAAGGTGCTTACCATAATTATAAGACTCTTTGAAAATTTAACTTGCAGCCCTCGCCATGCATTTGTCCTACGTATTTTGAGAAAAATAAAAATAATATAGGTATATATAGGGTATTGGCTTTGCGAGTCATTTCTTATTTGCGATGAGCTTGGGAAAGTACAGCTAGTTTGACTAAGAAAGCTCACATTTTTGCCTATCTGCAACTGTATCATAATGATAAGACATCTTAGTATTTTTTGCTCAAAGCACAAAAATTTATTAATTGTTTACTTAAGGATATGAAAGTTACAATGTTTAATAATTAATTTGACCACCTTGGGCCTTTCCAAGCTCAAAAACTCTTTTATTCATGGAATTGATGAGCGTTTTAAGTAAAAATGGCTCTAGTCGATTCCACTCATTTAAAATCGAGGTCCAAAACGTTGTTATATTTTTTGTCTTCGTGCTAATATCCCCCAAATATTTTCTATGGGATTAAGATCCGGGGAACGCGCTAGCCAGTCCATTACCTCAATGAAACAGTCCTGCAAAAATCCCATAGCTTGGCGACTGGTATGAATTCTTGCATTATCATCCATGAAAATTTAGGATTTCTCTCTGTTTTCCAGCAAAAATTGAAACAGGCTGCTCTCCAGAACTCGTATGTATCCTGTGCTATTCATTTTGGAGCTTGTAAATTGCGAATCGATCCGCCACCAAAGTTTCTCTTTGAACAAAATTGGGGTTCCTTCCTCAAATCACGGCAGGATGTTGTCACGTTATTTTGAGCAAAAACGAGACGCGCCACTTTGTGACGCGAGAGTAGCTGTGGAACCTTTTTAAACACACTCCCTACAATGTGTTCTGAACTTTTTAAAGTTCGCCAAACGATCATACGGGACACATTTTTGTTGCAAAAGGCAGCTGGGAACACGAGAAGGTCGAATTGTTCGCTTTATTTATTATTTGCCTTCCTTCCAGAGCTTCGCTAAACTCCATATTTTTCTGGATCTTTCAAGAAGTTGTCGATTACAGAGCGACTTCGCTCAATTTCCGTTGAAATTTAGCTATTATTCCATCCGGATTTGTTATACGCCATAATTAAGCCTTCTTCTTGGCTGGTTAAAAGTTTTGAGCGCACCATTATGTAATAATATCTTATTTTATTCGTTTTTAATGTAAACCACCAAAATTTTGCTGAACTGTTTACATACGCTGCACTTTTTAATATGTGTCTTATCATTATGATACAGTTGCAGATAGCCAAAAATGTGAGCTTTCTTAGTTAAACTAGCTGTACTTTCCCAAGCTTATCGCAAATAAGGAATGACTTGGTTGTTCGCTAAGCCAATGTCCTACAAGTATACTAATTTTTCTCAAAATACATAGGACACAGGCATGGTGAGGGCTGAAAGTCAAATTTTCAAATTGTCTTATAATTATGGTAAGCACCTTAGCTTCATTTCTAAAGAGACCACATCATTCTTTAACTGTTCGACATTTAATTATGTATATTGTTCATTTAATTACACCTAGCCCTCGCTTAACGCTAACTCTTTTAATGCTAACTCGGTCTAACGCGATTACAAAAGTGCTACCTTTTCTATTTTAACGCGGTGAAATACCTCGTTCTAACGCGATTGATAAAATCGATTTTTTTATTTTGTCGATTATTGCATGAGTACCTTTGGGTATAGTATGTATCACCACACATGAGATGTGTGTAGAAAAAGGGAAGTCCCACTTTCTACACCATCAGAGTAAGAATGAGTGCATTCTCGTATGTCCATAGTATGGACTCCATACATAAATAGTTGCTAAGGTGAGCAAAACTTTATTTCTTCAGACGCGCACATATGTAATAATATTAAAATTCTTGTGATAATTGAAATGGTTTAACCGTTGAATGAAATAAAATGGTATAAAGTAATTTATACAAATTGCAGTTTCTCCATGGATGCAAAGAAAATAAACCATATAAGGAGAGCTGCTATGAAGCTTTAAGAGCCACTAAACAGTCGATAATTATAGATTTTGTTGCCACGCAAGGGGAGCCACCATATAAAACATATTAATTACTAAAGCTGCTATAAATGCCAATATATGAATTTTATTTTGAATAAACCTTTTTATGTTTTTGAAACTAATAAATTTAAACACTAAAAAGTTGCTGTATGCATTTTTCGAAGTCTCGGAACGTAACCCCTCATTTTGTATGGAAGTACATGGCTCGTTTAACGCGATTTCGCTTAACACGACGTAAGCGAGGGATATGTGTACTTTCATTGTAAAATTACTGAATATCAAACTTTTTTCGAGTAAAGGGTATTTTAAGTTGGGCGAACTGGCCTCCAGCGTTTCCTTTATTTATGCATAAAGAATCAACAGCCTTACACTCACGAACGCGACTGCCCTCAAGAGCTGTGTAAATGAAAAGAGCGTGCTAAAAATGCCTAGCAAAACAAAGAACAAAAGATGAGTTGAGAAAACTTATTGTACTCTATTTCTCTGCCAGTCGTGCTCTCGCTCTTGCTGCCCAACTGCAGGGCTTTTCAACACACCTTGACGTGGTGAGTTTAAGCCCGCGTTGGCTTCAAAGGCGACCAAAGGACGAAGACGCTGCCAGTTTACAGTTAAACTTTGTGTGACGCATTAGCGAACCGGGCATTATAATCAATTACAAAGCCATTGGCTGGCATTTAAACAAAAAGTATAAATATAAAGGCTTACTCGCATTATTTGCATCGATATTAGCTGCGAGCATCACCTACGGGAACTTCTAATTTTTTCTAAATTGTCGAATATTTCTTGCCCTGCAGCAGTTATAATCGTACAATGCATTAGATTGCACGCTTTTGCTGATTTGCAACTAATTTTACAACAAGGAGACAGCTAAATAATACAATACGCGTCAATAAAAACTGATTTACCGAATACCTATTGGAAAAGTGAATTGCAACATTTTTCTATCGATTTGTAGCAGAAATTTTACAAAACGCATTTTGTTGTTGCACACTCTCTAACACACTCGTGCACGCACACAAAGAAAACTTTGCGGCTGTGGCCCTAAATGTGTGTGTGTGTATGTGTAACCAGCTTGTGCGATCGAGCGGAACAGGAACAGGAAAAGGAAGTAACTGCTGTTGCAACATCTGTTGAACACAAAGCATTTTTGATTGAGTCAACAAAAGCCACGGCATAAAATGGCGCCATAAACCAAACCAAGTTACGCTCAGGGGAACCTCAGCCGAGTACACACGGACAGCTACACACAGGCAAACAGAGCACCACCCAGTCGATTGTGCCAAAAACTTTCAACTTATAAGTTCAAAGCGAAACGCGCATAGCGTATACGTCGCGTGCAACCAAGAAACAGCAACCTAAGATCACTTTGGGGCCAAGCTACTTTAGGCCCGCGTAAATTGCCTAATTTTTGCATTCGCTGTTTGCAACTAGAGTCAAACCAATGCATTTAGGCTTTCAAAATCGCCCCAAGCAACAAGAACAACAGCGCGAACAACAAGAGAAGCATCAAAAGCGTTTTACGTTTAGTAAACGACGATGTCATCATTACAACGTGAATGCCGTTTACAGGTAAGATTTCTCCAACATTTTATCAGCCAAATTTTGTGATAACTGAGGTCAAGAAACGCATTCGATTCCTTTATGCTGCCCGGAATGTGTGTGCGGATGGTTGTACAAGTATCTGCCAAATTGTTGAGGTAGTTTGGGTTTGAGAAGACAGGCAGTCCGATTTGGTGAGCATGCGCGCTATCAAAATAGAGGCAACAAATAATTCGGCAATTGACTTGACTTCAGTCAAATTCAAAAGCATTCGTTAATGACCCTATGCTAGTTGCTGTCACCTACCAATTATTTTATTATGTTTGTTTATTTTCATGCCCTGTGCATAATATGTACAAGGGTATACTAGTTTGTGAATTAATAAAGAATTCTCTTATTCAATTTGTAATCAATTGTTTGTGGCAATCATAAAATTCTATATTTGTGTGAAATACTATATTTCTCGAAAATATATGCTTCAATGATTTGTGAATGCGATTTACTGTTCTTCATGCTTCGGGATTATTCAAAGATCAGTCCGTTCTCTTCTGTACGTTTTCAACTTTCCCTTAATTCTGTCCTTCTCATACTTGTTAATTATTAATTGCAATATCGACAGTCTTATTTTGACATACTAAATACAAAGAAAAAAGATTGGAAAGCTGAAGCTGAGAATGCCCTGTATTTGTATACCCTGTACCCACTTCAACAAAAAATCAAAACGAATATAAAAACATTTTATTAATTAGTAATAATAATAATTAAATAATTTTTGAAATTATCAACAAATAAGGACATATGATCATTAACAGTTTTAAAAGAACACATTTGGGTCGTTATTGTGCATCATAAAAAAAAAGAACCTCGTACTTTTTCGACCTTATGAGATACCAAGTAATACTTTCTGAGATCCTAACATTCAGAGATTCAAAGATGAATGAACGAACAGACGGATACAGTTATATCAACTAGTCTTGTCATACAGATCAAAAATACTTTGTGGGGTCTACTTGTACTACGCCTCCTTCTGTGTGTTACATACATTCGCACTAAACAAGTATACCCTTTTACGCTTTGGGAAGGGATATAAAAAAGAAGTTTAAAATCGAAGGAAGACCTCGCTGTGTGCATAATTATGATAATTAAGATATCCTGTCAAAGCCACGAAATGCAGCGACTCCATACTGACGCATATGTCAACAAGTTATGTTGTAACTTGCTGAAATTGAAAATGTGTAAGGCCCACGTCTATCAGCCAAGTCCGCAAGCATTGTGTACATTGTGTACAATTTCCTGACAATTTAAGCCGTATTAATGCTGACAGCAAATGGCACGCCTTGGCACTGTATTGTTTGCCCAACTGCTGATGCCAAAACATTTTTTGCTAGTGGGATGTGCGCAATAATTGTGCAACAAGACTGGATACGCTAAAACGCTTCAGCTCTGACATTCGGCAAGGTCGTTGGGGCGGACTGTTGGCCTAAAGCCGAGGCCCGCCCTGGGCAAGCACACTGTCGCCCGCCACTGGCGCTTGCATGTTTATTGCCCTAATTCGAAGCAGGCAAAAGTATTTTTCATGGCCGTCAATGGAAATTGCTATATTGACGTGATGCCGGGAGCTAGTTATTTAGTAATGGCGTTCGATTTAATAAAAATGTTAACATTTCAAATGTAAATTAAAAAAAAAACAAATCAGCTCTAAAAAAAATAAAACAAGAAAGGAATCCTAGTGTCGACTGAGGTCAACTTTAAAATACCCAAAATTACAAAATTAATTTAAAACAAGGGAGAACGCTACAGTCGAGCAAGCCCGACAGTGAAAAAGCCTGTTCTAACTCCCACAACAAAAATAAAATTTACTTTTGAAATTTTAAAAATTAATTAAACAAAAATTTAATTATTTAATTAAATTTTAATCAATTGTCAATTATAAAGGAGCAATTCCTATGTAAATGTGTAGTTATACTTTACTCACTTTACGTAAGTTTGAGTTGAGGTAAGTATAACAGATCGAACATTTTTTTTGGTAATATTACAATTTACTTGCTTTTTTTCAATTTTCTAAAGAAAAAATTAAATTTCTATAATTATTCTACACATATGTACAGCGTATTTCAAAGTCCGGTCAGTCGACTTTAGCTTCTCCACTTATTTTAATGTATAAAATAGAAGGAATAATTAATAAATAATTTTCCTACAAATGGGTGTTCATAGTTAAGCAATTATGTGTATAACATATACATGCTTACATACAGGGTGCGCCATCTTTTATGTCGGTATGTAGATATTGTCATTAGTGAACCGATTGACTTGAGTAGACTGGTGTTAAAAACCTCAGTTCAAGAAATTGCACAGAACCAAATTAAATAAAAATAACTCATACTTGAATATCGGTTGTTTATTTTCAAGGATATTCAATGTTTGCATACCGACATATAAGATGGCGCACCCTGTATACATACATACATATGCATACATCCGTACATTATTCATTAAACATAGTTTTCAATATATTCGTTTAAGTATAGTTATGCTTATTAAACAATTAAAACATACATATATCAAATTTAACAATGGTGCTGTTTTTACTTCATTTCAGTCATATTTATTAACATTAAATTATTAAACAAAAGTATCACGCATATCCATTTATGCATTTTTTGCCAGAAAGTGTGCACTGCGCAGAGCAAGTGCTTTTTTCCATAAAAGTCTTCCACAGTCTTTGTCATGTTGGCTGCGTTGCCGAAAGGATTTCAGAAAGTTCAAGAGCAGGGTTATTCTATTTCTAAGAATAACGCATGTTCAAAATCTCTAATAGCAGGGGAATGGGGGTGTATTAGAAAAAAAAACATAAACTTGATCTGCACAGGTCTTAGGGGAATATAGATACACAATTTGGTTACTGTAACTCCTATAGTTGCTGAGGTACTTGCGTTCATGCAGACGAACGTTTCTGAGATCTAAATCAACTCATCTTGTCATACCAATCAAGAATATACAAGTTTGTATGTGTATACTGTGTGGGGGGCGCCACACCTTCTTCTGCCTGTTACTTTTTATAATAATTGACTATGCTTATCTGATAGTAATGCATATACTACTTAGTTTACCAAAAAACCGTGTAGGGTTGTACACGTGCATTCAAACAAACAGTCAAATCCCTTTGAACTTGGCCCTGAAATGTAAACTAGCAATTTCTATTCAAACATTGAGCCGGAGACGAATGTACAATGGAAAATTCCCTGACGTCATGCAACCCACACAGCATGCAGTCAAACAACAACGACACACTCGTACAAGTATACAGCGTTATTGCATCGATTTAACAAACAAGTGCATTTTATAAAAACTGTTTATAACAGGAACAACAAAAACGTGGTGTAATTACTACAAAAGTATGTATGTAACAAAACGATCCCCATGTTATGAGAGAGGAGCCTAGCTAGCCTCGATGGTAACAGAGGTAACTCAATTAAATTCACTCGCTGCATATATTAGAGGGCCACAGGGCCGTGGCATGGATTGCGTGCCGGCTGCGCATTAGTTTAGTTTGACAAAATCAGTTTTAAATTGTTGCTTCCTTTAGGACGGAGGTAGTTTATCAACGAAATTGAATGAATGGCCTTTTAATGTAGGCGCTTGTTTGCATTTTCATTGCAGGATTCACGGGCATCGGTTTACTGTGCGAGTGAACCGGACCCAATTAGTCGAGTCCAGTACGAGTCGGGAGGGCTCATTCTCACTACAACGGCAGCGACACCAACAACGCCACAGGCACAGCCCGCCAGTCGCTCCCAGCCAGCGGAGCCTTCGCTGCTTAACGAATGCCAGCAGTCAAGTGGCTCCTTGTTTTCCGTGGTCTCGGCGCCGCCAGCGCCGGTTCCAATGTCGCTGGCCCAGCTTGATGTACATACGTTGGGTGGAAGCGGAGCCTTTGAGGGGATGGCCAATGTGCAGAACTCGCCGCAGCCGCGTCGTCCTATCACGCTTTCCATTGACACACCCTGCGGTCCACGCACCCTCCATTCCAGCTTCCTGGAACACCAGATCTCTGAAATCGAAGAGGACGACAATGAGAACCTGTTGACCGTCTCTAGCATTACGGCTCGTCCGCTAATAGAGAAATCGCATGAGTTACGTAGCAGTCGAAAGTTGCCCCCGTGCTCGGCACTTGGCAAAAGCTCAAAGCGCTCTAATGCTGCCAAGAGGACGCTGCAACGACGCAAAGAGTCAGCCAAAGATTCATCGGCGACCACAACGCGCAGTGGCTCAGAGATTGCAGAGCCACCAGACGGCGGCTATGGATGGTTTATTGTCTTTGGCGCTTTTTCTGTGCAATTCTGGGTTGCCGGCTTGGTCAAATCATATGGCGTGCTCTATGTGGAAATCATGGAAACATTTCCCAGTTCAACCGCTACGGTAGCCTCCTGGATACCGGCCATATTATCGGCACTTTGTTTAGTTTTGGCCCCACTCTCGAGTGCACTGTGCCAACGCTTTTCTTGCCGCTCCGTCGTCTTTGTGGGCGGTATTTTCTGTGCCCTAGGCATGATTCTCAGCTACTTTGCCACCAATCTGCTACACCTGCTCTTCACCTTCGGCATACTGACGGGTAAGTTTAACAATTAAATCAACAGTCACTTAAATCCGTTTCGTCCATCTTAGGAATTGGCGGTGGTCTATCTACCACTCCCGGGATTGTCATAGTCTCCCAGTACTTTGACAAGCATCGCGCTCTTGCCAACGGGATATGTGTGTCGGGCACTGCCGCCGGTAGCTTCATTTTACCCATTTTGATCAAACATCTGGCAGAAAACTGGGGCTTCCATGGCACCATTCTTATACTTGGCGGGTGCATGTTGCATGTCTGCGTTTCTGCCACACTTTACAGACCCATTAGCGAGTATACCCATAGCCAACCGGATGATGCTACGAAGCCTTTGAATGACTTGCCCAATCCTGTAATGCTGACCTCCTCAACCTATTTGGATGCATGCGAGCTCCCAACAGATTTGAATAACAAGTTCATCGAGCATTTGTTTCTTGAAAAGAAAAATCAATTAAATGACTACTATAATGAAAAGAATCAATTGCAGCCAGGTAAGTGTCCCCATTTTGCCATTCAAAGCAATTATTCAATCTGTATGCAATCCTTGTTCGTTCAAGATGCTCAAGACAAATCAGCACAGGAGAGCGATGACGAAGTCAAAGATATAATAGGCGAGACCACCTTTATCAAGCCTATGAAGAAAGTGCGGAGCTCGGGACTCCTGCATTCTGTGGAGGATCTGAGCACTGATTCCACTTGGGTCTATCGCAAGCATTCGGGCACTGACTCCAATCGCGGCAGTCGTCGTCGTCGGAACGTATTTGCCAATGATGAAATCATCTCGAAAATTCAGGCGCATCTCGAGAAACCGCTGTCGCCCCCAAGCATAGTTACACGGGGCCTGAGCAAAAGCATGGAAATCCCAACACCTGTAAGTAATCTTAGCGAGCTGAAGCAGACACACGGACATATATTAGATGGGCAGCTGGCTGAGTCAAACGCAACCTATAGCGTTGACGTATTCGATGACGACAGCAACGATAATGATGACGACGACGATGGGGACGAACAGCCACGCACCTGCTGCGAACGCATTGAGATGTATCTGGATATAAGCTTGCTGCAGGACCCCAGTTTCATCCTAATGTGTCTATCGGTCACCCTCATGTCCGTGGGTTGTCCCTATATGCTGTATTATCTGCCCGCTCACACCATTTCCATTGGTTAGTAAATGTCCATAAACTCCCCAGATTGGGAGGCTACAACGAATTTACCTCTAAATCCCCCAGGCTATAACAAAAGTGAAGCTGGTTACTTGGTAGCCATCAGCGCAGTGCTAGATTTGTGTGGCCGCCTGGGTCTTGGTTGGCTCTCTGACCTGCAGCTTTTTGATCGAAAGAAGACCTTCACCCTGTGGTACGTCATTCTCTAAGATTCCGTCTGCGCTTCCCTAACCGCTTCTTCCACAGCATATTTGGCGCTGGTCTGGCCGTGCTCACCATCCCTTTTGCCAGCACCTTGGTTTGGCTTGGCCTCTCTGCTGCAGTCTATGGCTTGTGTCTGGGGAGCTGGTACGTCCTAATGCCTGTGCTGTTGGCTGATATCTTCGGAACAGACCGCATCAGTTCCAGCTACGGCTTAGTACGAATGTTTCAGAGCATTGGAGCGATATCGGTGCCGCCACTGGCAGGTCTACTACGCGACGTTACTGGCGACTACGAGATTTGCTTTTACTGCATGGGATCCTGCATGATTTTGGGTTGCACACCATTAATAATTTGGACCATTCTGGAGGCTCGCGATCATCGCTGGTTTGTGCAAAGGAGCGAAGATGACTGCGAGGAATCTTAATCTGTATTATTTATACTCGCACATATTGATTATTGATAAATTAGCTTACAGTTGAGTTACATATTTACATAATCGGTGTGTTAGCAGTGTTTTAGTAGCGATTACAATTACACCATAGCTTAATTGCTCTAGCGCGTAAAGTGTCAACAGCAGTACAAAATTGAGTTCGAAATCCTCACCGATGAGGAATATTTTCCTAAGTAACATAACAATCACATGCTACTCGCTTCAATGGAACGTACAAAACAGAAAAAAATTATGTGACTTTAATTTATGCCTCAATTGAATTTCTATGAACAAGGCTAGCCAATCTTACATTAATTATTTTGATTGGCACTATACAAAACTATATACAAAAGCGTGCTTATTCCATATGCTATCATATACTACCTATAGCAACTCATGGGTACTAAACAATGTTCTCAAAAATATATGTACACATACATACATACCAGTATATGCATATGTAAAAATAAATTACTAACTGAAAAAGCACGAAAAGTTGCGCAAAGAACTGAATTAAAAAGACATATATAACTAATGCCCATTTGTGTATTACATATAACTTTATTATATTAAACATAATTTATTTTAGACATATAGATAAATGCTATATATATAATATACATACATATGTATATATTGTATAAAAACATTACATTTATATGCCTACAATAAACAATCAACAATAGTTGTAGGTTCAACAAAATACATAAACCTATTTCTTCAAAGTTATTTTAAATGCTGGAAAGACTGTGCGATTTTAATTGCATTATTACGAAAAGCGCCTCGGCGCGAATTTAAATGAATTTAAAGGGCTTTTCAGTTGATTTATAACATCATTTACAAGTGGTAAATCACTTTCTGGGCATCAGAACATGAATTACAACTTTAATTAGTTGATAAAAAATATTCACTAACTTGAAACATACTAATAAAAGCAAACTACAGTAACTAAGTTCTTTTTGTCTTGCTGGTCTAATTTCAGTGAAGATGTGGAATTATTCCAGTCCTACTTATTTTGTAATCCTCATCACTCATATAAAAACAGACCTGCCGAAGTCTCAAATTTCCACATAATTACAAATTGGGAACTTTCATTTAGAGAAATTGGAGTGCAAATTGAATAACCATTCAGAGGAATATAATGTAAAGGATTTTTAAAAGATTAAAAGATCTAATTTGATCAGCGTGGACTTGGCCACTGCATTTCACCTTCATATTTGTATACCCTGTACCCAAAGGGTGAAAGGGTATACTAGATTTGTGGGAATGTATGTAACAGGAGGCGTGGCAGACCCCACAAAGTATATATATTCTTGATCAGGGTGACAAGCCGAGTCGATATAGCCATGTCCGTCTGTCCGTCCGTCTGTCCGTCTGTATGAGCGCAAGGATCTCAGAAGGTACAAGAACTAGAATGACCAAACTTGGTATCGAGGTTCCCCTAAGCCCTAGGCAGGTCAAGTTTATTTTTTAATTAATTTTAATTTTTTTTTAAATTTTTTTTTAATTTTTCTTTTTTGTGGAGAGTACAGGCTATTTTACTCGACTGTAGCGTTCTATCTTGTTTTATTTTGATACACCCCCCCCCTCTCCCCGCAATTCGTGTTTTTGTTTATAAATTCCGTAATTCTTGGAATTTTGAAATTAATGTTGGGAGGTACATCCAGCTAGTACTAATGTGGCCGTGTGCCAAGTTTCATCATGATAGGTCAATTGTGAAGAAAGTTATAGCCATAAATAAAATCGCATGCTCTGCGTGCAGCTCTGCCCGTAGCTGCTTTTGTTGCTGCTTTGGTTCAACTTTGTGCTGCATACATACACGCATATAAACACCCAGATACACGATTCTGATGTAAATTTATTCTATTGAAATTGTACATAAACACTTATGTATGTGTGTATGTGTTGAATATTTTATATTTAATTTCATTAATTAATTAATTTTTTAAAATATATTTTTTTGTAATTTTATTTTTTGTGGAGAGTACAGGGTATTTTACTGTCGGGCTTGCTCGACTGTAGCGTTCTATCTTGTTCAGCTCTGATGCATGCGGAGAGAGGATGAAGGGTAAAACTCGATTTTTGTGTCAAAAAATTAATCACAAGTTTGATCGTAAGTCACGTTGTACGAAACAAAGAAAGAACCAGACCCAATACTTCGATTAAAATAGGACAAAATATTGACTGCGTAATCACGAATTTTGGTTGGCCAACACGGTCGTCAAAATCCGAATCCCTAAGACCATTTTTGAAAAAGTATTTCCGAGTCCGAAAACCAACTTAAGATTTTTTTCTCATTTCATTTTTGTACTGGCGAAATGGAACTTTTACTGGTAGTCGGTAAGAAATTTACATTTCCATCAAACTAAGCTCGGTCAAAAGCAAAAACACGAGTCCTGTACCTTAAACCTCCTAATACCGTTCTTTGTTATACCTTTGCCAAAAAAATATGGTAAAAATTTTTCATCAAAATGACGAAACGATAATAAACCATATACACAAGAATGGAATGCTACAATCAGACAACTCTTAAATCCCCTGTAGCTATTATCACCAAACAAAAACTATATCTATTACAAATTTTCAGTTTCATAATTTTTATATATATATTTTGACTCTGAACGGGGAGCAGTACGGTCACAATGCTGATGAGGCTTACCCTGGCATTATACTGTAAAAACACCCAAAATATTATTGTATTTATTTTATTTTATTTTTCGAAATCGAATAAAATAAGAACACAAACTATATTAAATGAATTTCACAATTATTATACGAGTATTCGTCTATATACGATTTATCTTATCTATACAAAAAAAAAAATCAAAATTAACAAATCGCTTCAAGATTTATTTAGCTGTAAATAATACATATATTCAATACAAAATTTGAAAAAAAAAATGTATATCATTATTTCCAAATATTCCATTAAAACATTCTATTAAACATTTTAATATTTGACTAAAACAGCTACAGCTAAATATCATGGACATATTTTTTTTCTTTTTTAATTATTATCTTGTGATATTTTATTTATGAAACCACTCATAGATTTTTAAGACTATGTGATGATGTTAGCTACGTGATTCGAACTCCCGTGGAAGTATGCAAAAACAATTCCAGCTAATTGCCCGTTCGGATTGAGCAGTATTTTGTAAGAAAATTGATAACTTGTTGGCTATTCCTCTATTTCTATTTAATGTAGCATAAAACAACGACCATAACCTTAATTGTTCAATACTGTATGCCTAGTCTAAGACTTTAAAAATGCGGCCAAAACAAATAGTTAAAGAAACGTGAGCGGCATTTGATAGCTAGGGCAGTGACCAAAATATATTAACTGTAAATGAACTCAAGGCAACTAACTGTACATGTAGTTAGTTACATAGTAATGGGTCTTAGAATTTATGTGGCTTTGCTACCAACATTTTCAGCCAATCGGCAATATATAGTAGTTGCTTTGCGAGTAATTTCATAGCCTCATTCATAACTATTCACATAACATAAAAAATCGAGCACAACTCAGTATGATCTACACCGATGACTGCTGTTGTTGCATTGAATTGAGATGCGGTTGCATCATCATAGCCATTATTGAAGTTCTCCTGCGCGGCGCGGATCGTTACTTTGTAGATCGTAAGTAGGTACGCCTCCTACGACAATGCATTGAATTATAAAGGTCTACTTCTCCAAGGGGATACCTGGCTTGGTTTTGCATCTCTGATCATTAGCGGAATATATGTAATTTGTTGCGTACTCATGCTTCTTGGTGTCCTGTTGGTAAGGCTTTTTTGCATTTTTATATTTTTGGAGATTCAAGCGGGTGTATACATACATACACTAAATTTATTATAGGCTGTAATCCAAGTGTCTTGCTTACGTGAAAGGAAGTTTTGATTTAACCGTCTAACAGTATACATTTTAAAAATCTGTTTGTTGGCTCTGTTGAAGCCCCTGGCTATATTTGACTATGAATCAATCAGTAGCTGTATAGTATAGTCGAAATCATAAATAAACATTTGTTTTATCTTTTCAACAAGGCAGTCACAAACAACTCTTACATGGGATCATTTTATAAAATCATAATTACTAAAAAATGGAGTTAAATTAATTAAAGACAGGGAATTCCTTTTTGCTGTATAATATTTGTTGATATAACTAAATCAAAACTGAAGCAGAACTTGGAACGAAAAATTTTAACGAATAACGGTTTGATTTTATTGGACAGCTACTCACTAATAGCTGGTTTAAATGCAGTTAATTAAATTTATTAAGGTTAAACAAAACAAAAAAGAAAAAGAAAATATTCATACTCCAATCGCAGCGCTCGTACTTGTACGTTGAGATTATTATTACTATTTTGTATTAATATTCTCTACTTTATTTTTTTTTTATCCAAATCGGAGGGATGCTCCACCAGCACCTTAACTGTTTATTTAATTTTAATCTTCTCATCTTAACTATCGTTAACAAAGCTACGGGGGTTCTTGGTTATATTAAACGATGGTCCACAGAATTTAATGACCCCTATACCACTAAGCTACTTTACAGTGTTCCAGTACGGCCAAAGCTAGAATGCTGTTCAAGAGTTTGGTGTCCTCAATATAAATTGTATCAGGACCGCATTGAGTCGATCCAGAAACAATTTCTTCTTTTTGTATAGTTCTTGGATAGTTCTTGGTCTTCTGTTTCTCCACAAATTGATTATCGGAGATGTTGATTACGCTATACTCTTAGGTAGTATACATTTTTCTGTACCTACCAGGCCAACAAGAAACTTTTTGCCTACTTAACAGATGCACTAGTGATTACGTCATGCACAAGGGCGTAGGCAGTGGGGTGGCCGGGGGAGTAAAAAAAATGTCGCCATATGAACTCGACCAAACATTCATTCATCATTATTATCGCCTTAAAATGAAACTAAGTTGGATTTGTTGAAATCTTTTTATTAATCATATGCATCACTTATTATTTATTTATTATTTTAACGCATCGTGCATTATTCAATAAAAATTTAAAATCTTGCTAAATCCCCCCTCCAGGTCGGATTCGTTATTAGATATTTTTGTAATTTTTATAGGCTATTTTATTTCGTTAGTTTTATTTAGCTTAAATAAATAAATAAAGAAATTAAAATTGTTGCAGAATTACCCCCAATTTCTCTCCTACAGACTGTTTCCCTTCTTCTTTTACCTTATTTATTGGTGGCCTTGTTGCGGACGATTATTATAATATGGGAATGCAGTAACATGGCAATGGATGGCATTATATATAATTATATCATATTTGATTTAATTCAAACCGGTGAGACTGTTTTATAATACTTGAAGTAATAATCTTTATCAAGCCCTCAACAGTACTGGGAGTGTACTTTTGCCTGGTAGTTTATTCCTACTATTCGCGGTTGTCTGACTCGGAAGCGTCCTGAATGTTTCCAAAAGAAGGAAATATATGTTTATATTCGAGTATAAGTTTTCATTTTCTGAATAAAATTAACACAAATTTTTGCTTTGAACATTTTGACACTAAAATCATTTTTATTTTTTATTAAGAATATGGAAATTATCTATGTAAAAAAATGTTGTTTTTGTATAAATTTGAAAATAGCTTGCATTATTATAGCAATTTTTGATTGCATTCTCACATCCTTGGCTCACAAATTTGATGCTCGTAAGTTGCACACAAATCACATATCCAAGTATCTTATATGATTAACTAGTGTACTTATTTGAAAATGAAACTCCTTTCTCAGACGCTGATGCAGTACCCCATGTGGCTACTATTATCTTCCTTTGCCACTTTATTAGCTGCATATTGCTCCTCCTTGGTGGTATTTTAGTAAGTGATCAACTATAGATCTGCGTAATACATACTATACTTCCTCTTCTTTCTAGGAAAGGCCTGTACTCTTGCTCCTGTACATGCGCCTTACTGTCCTGCGGGTATTCTGGTCTTTGGTATTTTGTTTCTTGGCTGTTTGTGTAGGAAAAATTGCACTAGTGGCCATTGCCATTGAAACATTGATGATCAGTAAATATATCTCAGTATATGTTGGTCCTAGAAATACTAATAAGAGATTCATTTGCAGCGACGGGCGTTTATTTTTGGATAGTTGTCAACTCCTACTATGGACTGCTGGGTGGACATCAATATATTATTTAATAAGGAGAGCTCGCTAACTTTTGAAATTCAACAATTTGAATAAAAACTCACAGAGATTTTTATTTCAAATTTGGATGCTTACCAAAACCGAGTTACGAGTAGCTATCTTTGGCTTGAATCACCATGCAGGGCCTTCAATAAAAAGTTTATAATTTGGGATTTTGTTAATGCCGAAAACTTTATATTTTATATTGCACTATAAATTATATTTACATAGAGCATGGCACATTTTTACACATGCCTTATCACTAAAACTGTTCGATGGTACGCGGTGCTGGTGGTGCCCCGTATTCCTCGGCGGGTGCTGGGGGCGGCCCGTATTGGGTCGCTGGTTTCTGTTGCTGCTTGTACTTGATGAAGTAGACCTCCGGCTTGCTAGGCTCCGTAGGCGCTGGCGATGGCAAAATGATTGGTTGCTGCTCCTCCGGCTTCTTCACCAGCACGTAGACCAAAGTCTTGTGCTCGTCCTGCACGGGTGGGGGAAGCACTTGACGCACCGGCGTAGGTGGGTTCGGTGCCTTGATGAATATGATTTTGTAGTGCTTCTTGGGCACGGCTGTTTGTATGGGCGATGCAGCCGGGTACAGCTCTGGCTCTTCTGGCGGCACATGCACATAGACATTTTTTGTCACAATAGCTTCAGCGGTTGGAGCCGCTGGTGGTCCGTAAAATGGCGCTGGTGGACCATAAATAGGTAGCGGCTGTGGTGGTGCAGGTGGTGGTCCGTACTCTTTCTGAAGCGCTGGTGGAGCCCCATAACGTGGCTTGGGCGGCTCCGGCCGCGCCAAAACGACAGCCAAGCTGCTCAGTGTCAGGAAAAGTAGCACAAGTTGCTTTTGCATCATGTAGATGTTGATGAATTGATGTCCGAAACTCGAATGACTCGGATGTGCGGGTCAATTGTGCATTATATACAACAAGCGCCACTTGATCGCCGCAATCGTTTGTATAACCCCCTTTCGTTGTTTTTGCATAATATTTTTGATGGCTTCCCAATCGCATCGCGTCGGTGGCGTCCGCTCCGCATGCGCCATGCATACAAATGACTCCACGTCATCATCGTCATCGCGTTTGTCGACAGTGCCGTTGTGCCCATTTTATTTTCGATATTTCGATAATGAAAACGAAATTGCTAAAGTAAATGCTGGCCTTTTGCCCAGACTCGGGTCCCAGGCCCACGTCTGACTTCATGCCCGCGCACGTTCTTTTTGGGCTGGACTTTCCGCCTTTTTGGCCGTTATTTGCTAAATGTACGAACATACATATGTACAGACTATATACATATGTATGTTTGCATAGATATGTACGTCTGTTGGTTCATATGCCATAAAAATTCCTCGATTACGTTGCTTATTGTATAACTTTTTGAAGTGCGAGACATAAATATCATTCGGCTACTAGCGGTCATTGGTAAAGTATTTGTACATATACTATATACCATGCACTCACATACATATGTATGTGCAATGCACAGTGCTATCCAGAAAATTGAGAATGCAGTACTAAATATACTTTATAAAATATGAACTAATTCATTTCACATTGGACAGCTTGGTATTTATGATGCTATTGATAAAGTTTTCCTTAAAATCAAACAAACAAATACAAATGCTAGAATGGGTTCAACTCTAGTAGCTTTGCGGGAAGTGACCCCACAAAGTATATATATGTACATATTCTTGAGCAGTATGTCATGGCGAGTCGATCTAGCCCTGTCTGTCTGTCCATATGAATACTCAAAGACTTTAAGAGCTAGATACACAAAACTTTACAAAAAGATGCCTTATGTATGTACGCTGTGCAGTTTGATTTATTTGTTTGATGTACCCCACAGTCCCACTATTAATGATTTTCCAAAACTCCCTTAATTCATGGAATTTGTGATTACCTTCAGATAGTGATTATGAGTGTGTAATACACACAGTGTATGTCAAGTTTCATCGTAGAGCGATTTAACATTCCAACAGGCAAGACCTTCTCTAGACGGTCTTCATATTTTAACTTGCACAAAAGAAGCCGTTATATTTTTTTCATTTAAGTCCAGAGAGTTTTTTCTTAGAATTGTATGTTTTTTATTTTAATGTATGTTTGAAAACTCTCAGATCACTCATTCAAGTGATATTGACAGTTGAATGCAAAAAATAAAAAAAAATTCCTCAAATTGTCGCCAAAGAAAATGGTTTTGTTAAATTCACAAAAGTGTGTTTTTAAAAAAGTGGGCAAGCTCATAATTTTGTGGTGAGTAATTACAAAATTGTACTTGAGTTCTATATTACAAATAAAACAAACAAATAAAACGCGCAGGTTTTAAGCTATTTTCTTTCAAATGAAATTTGTCTTATAAATTTTGTCCGATCAATTGGGGTACATAGTCAATATCACTATATCTACAACTATTCAACGATTTTCAAATTATAGAAAAAGTGCAGCAACAACAAATAACATACAACAAAAAATATAAAACAGTTGGGGACAGCACATAAGTACACACAATTAATTAGAGATGAGCATTGTCGGTGCTTTTTGTTCGAGGCACATCGCTGCTCTGTAGTGCTGTGCGAAACATCGATGTAAAATCGATACATCGATGTTTTGCAATTTTTTCCAAACATCGATGTTTTATTTCCGATTTTCGATGTTTTTTACTACTTGTAAAAAAAACGCGGGAAAAGCTAGGTAAGTAAAAGCTAAAATTTGCATTTTTTAATAAAACCCCTAATATAATACAGAACAAATTACTAATATTATAGATGGATATTGGTGTTGGCAGTGCTTGGAAATGGAGAAGTTTTTAAAAGAATCTAATAGCAAAGGTAATTTTTATCTTGCAGCTGCAGTCTTATTTGTGTATGTGTATTTTCATTATTTGTACATATATTAATATGTTGTTCTATGTACTTAGATTGTAATGCAAACTCAACCGAAATGGATAAGGAACCTGAGGAAGGTGGTCCTAATAAACGGGTAAAATATGGAAAGTCAACTGTGTGGAATTTCTTCAATAAGTCTAAGGATGGCAAGTCTGCTAAATGCTTTAAATGTGGTAAAGTGTATCAAACATGTGGCAATACCACCAATTTATCTGCACATTTTAAACGAATGCATCCTACGTTGACAATTGAAGAACTACCAACGACCTCAAGCTCTATTTTGTCGTTTATAGACAAAAAATACGAAGCATTTTATTTACAGATCTCAAATGATAAGTCCCTTAAGGCATGTATATGCAAGTACCTCTGCGTTCCTGCAACGTCCACTGAAAGTGAGCGCATGTTCAGCAAAGCTGGACTTATAGTTAGCGAAAAAAGGAGTTCGCTTAAATCAAAGAATGTAGACATGCTCATTTTTATTAACAAAAATGAGTGGATCTCAAATAATTAGTCATGAATTATATTTTTTATGTTATGCTTTTCATTTTGTTATACTTATATTCTTTCAATTTATGAAAATATTGTTTTGTTGTTTTATCTGAAATTAGTCATTAACTATAATTTTTTATGTTATACTTTCTCTTGTTTTTAGTTTATTATTTGAAGTTATAAAAATATCGTTTGTTTTAAACCCTTTTTTTCCTTTATAAACAGACAAATCAAAACGAAGTGCCCTATGATGTATATTAATTTTTTTTTGAAAATTTGTTAGTGGAATTTCGATGCATCGATACATCGATGTTCTTCCTCCAAAAAAATCGAAACATCGATGTTGGCAAACATCGATGTTTCCCCACCTCTACTGCTCTGCCATAGTAGAAAGAGAAATAGAATATACTTGTAGTTAATAAATATATAATTGCAAGCAAATTGGAGAGAACGCTAGAGTCGAAAAAATTAATTAATTAATTAAAGGGAATAAAAAATTTTATTTAAATTTAAGAGGGTATACTAGTTTCGTGGGAATGTTTGTAAGACGCAGAAGAAGGCGTGGCAGACCCCAAAGAGTATATTTATTCTTGATCAGGATGACAAGAGGAGTCGATATAGTCATGTCCGTCTGTCTGTCCGTCTATCTAGCTGTAAAAACGCAAGGATATCAGAAAGTATAGGAGCTAAAATAACCACATTTGGTATCCACACTCTCCTAAGCCCAAGAAAGGACAAGTTTGTTGATTTTTTCGAGTGCAACCCGCAATCAGTGATTTTTCATAACTCCCGTATCTCTTGGTAATTACATGCGGCTTTTGATTATATGTCCGTATGCCAACTTTCATCTTGATAGATCAATTATAAAGAAAACAAGAGAGAACGCTACAGTCGAGCAAGGCCGACAGTGTAATACCCTGTACCCAGGTAAACTTTCGTCACTGAGTTATATGCGCCCACAGCAGCAGCAAAAAGAGGAAGAAGAAGAGCGAACTTGTTGCTGCAGTTTGGGGAGGTTGTACTGGCGAGAATTTGTTTCGCTAATAACTTTTCTTAGAATTGACAGAATTGAATAACATTTTGAACAACAGTAGACAATTATATATAAATGATGTGTGCAAAGTTGGTTTAGGTAGCATTTGAAATGTGGACGCTATTGGCGAAATTCTGTAGCGAGAAGGGGGGAAAATTAAATTAAATTAAAAGAAATCTCCTTTCTTGGACCTAGGAGAATCTGGATGCCAACTTTGGTTATTCTAGCTTTTATAGTTTCTGAGATCCTTGCGTTCATCCAGGCGGACAGACGGACGGACGAGCATGTCTAGATCGATTTCTCTCGTCATGCTGATTCAGAATATATATACTTTATGGGGTCGGATCGGAGATGCTTCCTTCTGCATGTTACATACTTTGCACAAACCTAATATACCCTTTTTAACCTATGGGTACAGGGTATAATTATAGCAATAAATGCAATCTCTGCTCAGCTGTGGTTGTTGTTGCTGCTTTGATTTAATTTAGTACTGCACACATACAAGCTTAGACACGATTCTGATATAAATGTAAGCTGTTGAAACTGTATATAGAAACTTTTGTGTTTATGTATTGAATATTTTATATTTTATTAATTAAATGATTTCAATTTAAAAAAAATTTTCTAGTTTTAAAAAAAAAATGTATGTGATGGGTACAGGGTATTTAAGAGTAGAGCCTGCTCAACTCTAGCATTCCTTTCTTGTTTTAAATCCTACTTTGCATTTGAAATCATTATTCATGAGTTATCGAAAACAAAACATACAAACACAATATTTTCAGCGAGTAATCAGGGAGTCATACAACATTACTATCTAAAGTGTAAGCGCAGCGACAGCAAAAATTTTAAACAAAATGTAAAATCGTCATTCTATGGCGCACTTTCATTTTTCAGAACTACAAATCGCATACACTGAGCAAACGCCAGGAAAATGATTTACTTACAGTTCTGCTGTTTCTGTGTTGATCTACGCATTGGAAGTATAATAATAGGGGTTCTGGACTTTATTCTCGATATCATAGCTACCATTTTCATAGCTATTTTCGGAGAGTCTGGTAAGTAAATATCTGGCATGTCAAAGTTTAAACCAATCACGCTCCATTTGTAGGTATACCCGACTTATGCCATAAGCTCTTCCTTGTGTTTATGATTATACACATGATCAGCATCATATTTTTAATAATAGGCGCCATAAAGGTAAAAGGGGCAAATGTCAAAACTTTAATTCAAATGCTAATATATATTTGTGATCATGCTTTTATCGTACAGCTAAGACCCAAATACATGCTGTGCTATGTACTGGTCAGCCTAATCAAACTTCCACTCATGATCATACTGCTGATAGCTGATATAATACTAAGGATATGGTATCCAGTTCTCTTATTTTATATCATTATGTTCGGTATGTATTCTAAGGTTGCGCTGCTATGACTTTGCTAATTTTATCACCACCTTTCAGTTGTCGGATTATATTTCTGGCTTGTCGTATATTCGTTTTATGCCGCAGTCGGAGGTCAAATATTTATGTGAAGCCTACACTCAGATTTATTAAATTCAATGTATCTAGTTTTTCATCAACATCTCGAATATGTAACTATATTAATGTAAATTTATTGAATTTATGGCAATACAAAATTTTGTTGTAAGATTCTGCGTACTTGTTGCTTTGATGCGTGTATGTGGCCTGTCGGGACGTTTTCACCCAACAAAAGCTCAAGCAGAGATTTATGGAAATAACTTCCTGTACTTGGCTTTATCTACTTATCTATTCATACTGATGAAGAATACATACATATATATTTTGTCAGCCACGACTACATACACTAATATACCCTTTTCTGACTTTAGTACAGGGTATCATACATAGCTAGAAATAAACGTATTACATCTTAATTAAAAGACTAACCTTTTGCCTTAGATTTACAAGTCAAGTACTCAGCAATTTTATGTAAATAAAAAAGATTCCCTAGTCCAAAAACAGCACGAGGAAATCTTTGATCTACCAATACAATTATCACCATGGTGCGTGTTAAGCGTTTCTGTTTCTGCATTTCCCTGCGAATGGGCTCTATCTTAATAGCGTTAATTGATACGGCAGTCAATTTGCTTTTGATCAATTTTGGAAAAGGTAAACAATGGAAAGTTCCTAAAAATCATTAATGCATATATAAAACCATTTAATATTCAAACGCCTCCACACAGATGTCTCCTCATACCATATAGAAAAAGCTGTTGCTATTTGTCATATTATTGGTTGTGTTATGCTTATAGTTGGGGCCCTAATGGTGAGTGAAATGATGAAGATGCATCTCGTAACTTCTTTCCAATTGTAAACTGTGCACAGAAAGCTCAAATTTTACTGGTCTTCTACTTAATAACAAGCCTGATAAATAATATTATATTGATTGTCTATACCGGTTTCGTGTTCACTGAGATAGGCCGCGCTGCTTTGTATTTAATGGTCCTGCCTACAGCGATAATAGTGCGTGAGTTTTGCCTATAGATATATATGCCACATAAATATCTGCTACTATTCTCTAGCCCTCAATATATACTTTTGGATTGTTGTATACTCTTTCAATGTGGAAGTTTCCAATGCTCTGGATGAATACGAGGCGGAAAATGATTAATTAAACAGTGCTCTTTATACTGTTGGAAATAAACCAATCGTAAAATGTATTGGGACATATCTTGTATTTAAAATTATTAATTCGCTAGAATGTAGATACTGGAACTTATGTATGTATGTGGGTAAATAAAACTGCCTTCAGAGCAAACAACCTTACATTTCTGGCAACACTAACTGAAATACGCAATTATTATGAGGGGAAGATCAACCACTATACTCGTACGATATTAAACACATTCATTACTATTGAAATTCTAGGAGCAAGATCATGTGAACACTTAAGACATTAAATTAAATTGAATAAGCGCATTAGTGAAAATAATTCGGTTCTGACTCATTCTAAAAAGGGCTTTGAAACTGAAAAAGTCGATCCGGAATGCAATTTGCTTAACCCATGCTACTGAGGGGTTGGGGTTGTTTCTCAAAATTATTTTAAACAAGCTAAGAAACTACACAGTTCCTTTATTCCTCCGCCTTCGTACAATCTACTTTTCATTAGAAATCCTTTTTCCCCTTTTACCTTTGATCATCCGAGGTCCAAACTTAGTCATATGAGCTGAGATTACAAAAAAAAACAAGAAAGAACAGTCGAGCAAGCCCGACAGTGAAACAGAATCACTCCCACAACAAAAATATTTTTTTTTTAATTTTTTAAGCTAATTTTAAAAAAATGAAATTTTTAATTAAATTTTTAAAAATATATTCAATACATACATTTACAAAATCCGAGGATAATTTTGTTGGCATTTTGGGTTTTCTTTTGAATTTATTACATTTATTACGATACTTTTTAAGTTTGTTTTTTGTTTAGTGGCATTCAATTGCAAAATTTGCATCAATTTTAACAGAATTAGAAGACAGCGTGCTTAGATAAGTCGATTTTGTATCGAAAACGATGGCCCTAACAGGAATTCAAAAAATTTATATTATTAGTTTTAAAAAACAAAACATCAAATATTGCCATATCTGAGCAAATAATGTGTAAAGAATTATCTGTAAGGAGATTTTAAGTAAAATATGAAAAAATCGAGAGTTTAGATCGAGAGTTGAGATCGAGAGTTTAGGTCTGGCAGCGGACGTCCAAGGATGAATAGTGGGCATTAGGATAGGAATTTAGTCCGAATATCTCTGCGCAATCGTTTTAAAACAGCTCGAGAAATTACTGCAGAATTTAAATATGGCAGTCATTAGGAAATACGTAAATGTCAAATGGCGATTAAAGAAAAATAATTTGAGGGCCTAAGATTCATTCCAACAGACTAAATTGGTGCAAATAGAGGATAAAGGTCAGGATAGGTCAGCTAATGGTTGGGCCAATATGATATTCTCTGACGAAGGCAAAATCAAGGGATTCGGAGTCAGATTCGGGAGTCATGGTTTGTCGTAGAGTCAATGAAAGATTCAGTGATCAATGCGTGCAAAGTTCTGTGTTGCATTCCCCATATAAGTATTATGATCTGGGGACTTTTATTGCTGGAAGGTACTATCAACTCTGCAGCCGATGTGGAAATAATAAAAATGGATGTTTTTCCTACAATCGAGGCTCAAAAGTGTTTTTTCAAGTCGATTGTGCACCATTCCACCGTTCGAAATCGGTAAGAACTGCCTGGATATTTTCTAACGTGGACCTGTTGCTTCAAGTTTTCCAAACATTTTATCACTAATTAACTATTTTTCTTGGCGTAGGTTAAGGAATTTAAAGATATTTTAGGTATAAAGTCCCTTTATTGGCCTGGAAACAGCCCAGACCTCAACCCTATTGGGAACGTTTGGTCCATTATTAAGCGAAAAATACGCCGTTATAAGACCAATAATATTGTAAACGTGAGAGATCATTGCATTTAATAGGTATAATGGAATCTTCGGGATTGTTAAGAAAATAATACGAAAGCATGCTTAATTGACTACAGAGCGTTGTAAAGGCAAAGGGCGGCCACACCCACTATTAAACAAAACATTAATTTTTATAATTCATAAAAACTGAAATAAAATGACAGACAAGTAATAACTACAATTTACAAATCTTTTTTCCCCGTAATAATGTGCTTTATCTGCTTTTTATGATAAGGTTTTACCATACAATAAAAAAGTTTTCGTAAAATATACTGACATCGTCATGAAATAAAATATTTGAAAATAAATTTGTTATTTGCAGAACTGATAAATCTCTTTAGTGACTTCAACAATATATAGTTTTAACATAATATTAACATTTGAGTGACATTTCTTATTAATATTATAATTTTTTAATATCCTGTACCCAAAGGGTAAAAGGCTATACTAGTTTCGTGCGAATGTATGTAACAGGCAGAAGGAGTCGTGGCAGACCCCTCAAAGTATATATATTCTTGATCAGGGTGACAAGCCGAGTCGATATAGCCATGTCCGTCCGTCCGTCTGTATGAGCGCAAGGATCTCAGAAGGTACTAGAGCTAGAATAACCAAACTCGGTATCCAGATTCCCATAAGCCCTAGGCAGGTCAAGTTTATTTTGTTTATTCTGATACACCCCCCCCCCCACTCCCCCGCAATTCGTGTTTTTTCCATAACTCCAGTAGTTCTTGGAATTTCGAAAAATTAGGTAGCTATATCCCGTTAGTGATTATGTGTCTGTATACCAAGTTTCATCATGATAGGTCAATTCTGAAGAAAGTTATAGCCATAAATAAAATCGCTGCTCAGGCGCTGCCCGCAGCTGTTGTTGCTGCTTTGGTTCAACTTTATGCTGCATACATACGCGCATATAAACACGCATAGGTACGTGATGTAAATGTATGCTGTTAAAACTAAACATAAACATGTATTCTAATTTAATTTAATTAATTAATTTTAATTAATTCATTCATTCATTTTTTTAATAATTTAATTTTTTTAATTTTGTTTTTTTGTGGAGAGTACAGGCTATTTTACTGTCGGGCTGGCTCGGCTGTAGCATTCTCTCTTGTTCTTGTTGCTGCTTTGGCTCAACTCTGTGCTGTACATACACAGCCACGCAATCCCGATGCAAATGTATCAAGTGAATATGTCACAGCCTTGTGACTGATCAATATCACTAACGGCCCTCGTCCGCTGGTCAATAACAACTTCGAATATTACCTCGAGGATGAGGAGCCGTAACTTTGTAGTACAAGTTGAATCCACCTGATTTACTTTGCCTTTTGTGTTATTAAGAAATCAAGAAAAATACCTCATATACTTGTATTTAGGTCACCCATCGAATTGAGTACTTTTCCAGATGTTCAAGGTACGCACCTGCTGCTTCTATATTGAATTAAGACTCGGTTGCATTATAATATCCCTTTTTGAAATAATGTTCAATGCGTTTGGTATCCTTTTGGGCGATGGTAAATACCACTGCAACAAAGATGTATAACCCTTACCGCAACTTCTGTGACCCTCAGAGAATGTAATAGGACTCATTGGACGATCAGTATATATGGTGCATTGTATTGGTAGCATACTGCTTTTTATTGGCGCATTTCTTGTAAGTATTCTTGTATTTTAAGTCTTTGGTCAGAATAATAATTGAACTCTTGCAGAAAATGTCGATATTTTTATTAATATACCTAATAACCGATATCTTGCATATCATCTTTGGCAGCATATTCCTGTTTGACTGGTGGCTGGAAAACCACCAACTGAAAACTGAAATAGTTATTGGGCTCGCACTTATAAGTATATAAGCTTCTAATTGAGTAGCATAAGCACTAACAGTGAGCCTTTTACGACTTTGCAGTGTGCAGCATTTACTTTTGGTTGGTAGTTTACTCCTATTATGTTCAATGCAAGTCCGAAGGTTACTACGAAGAAGACTAATTTGGATATTTAAAACAATACTCAATAACATTTACAAGACTAATCTTATTCCTTTCTTCTGAGTACACGATCGATTTTTATGCGATTTTAAAATCCTACAATGCAAAATCTATAGTTAATAAATGAAAATACATTTCTTAACAGAGCGTTGCGAAGTATCCTCATTAGTTCCTATTCTTTATGTAAAACTGGAAACTGTTAAAAGACTAAATAGCAAAATTAAGGAACTCATAGAAGAAGGAAAACGAACGTAAACAACATGAAAATATACATTTTTGATAATTCTTCCTCTTGTAATTTCCAAGATATCACTTATACTTGTATAGTCATTTGTACAGTTACATATCTGTAGAAACCTTACAGACTGAACTTACGACATCTTAAAACATGATCAGAATTTCTTCAAGATGTAAGTCAGTGCAATTTAGTTTAATTGTGTACGATCTCTAATCATAATATGATAAGTATGTATGTTTCACAAATATTTGGAATGTTAATGACGCGGAAAACTGGCACTATATTTATTTTAAGTAAATATTAAAAATAACCATTGTACCACTCACAATTTGTCAAATTATTGGAAGTTTACTCTAATTTATAGAAATTCTACGTATACATATAACAGTCTCAAAGGCACAACAGAAAAAAGGACAAATCGGTTGGTATACAACATGCTACTTCAATAATGTCCAAAAACATATTTCTGCGTCAATGTACTCGTGACTGATGGTATTTGACTGTCTCTGCAAGTAAAGGTTTTGTTAAACAAGTGTGATAATTGCATTACATATTCTTACTTTGTGTACGCCTTGACCAAAATGCGCACCTGATCCATGATAGCCGTAATATCGATAGACGCGCCCAATTTCTTCAGGGTATCGCAAAATGTTTGTATGAATGGCGAACCCTCATCCGTGCGATACGACACATAGCCCTCGAAGGTGCTATAACACTTTAATATTTCGTTGGGGCTACCATGAGGACGAGCGGCATCGGTATGAAATCCTGCCTGCTCCATGTCACCCTTGCATGCCTGGATAAAGAACATCTTGGGCTTATCTTTTAGCGTCTGGTTGCGAAGAATAGGAAATAATATTGAGTCATCTATAGAGTAATCTCCGTTTTTGGCGGCGATAATGCCGTGGCGAGTACCATGGCTCAATATAACAATTACCAATGCCGAACGCGACCTAAAGTCGTACACTTCAACTATAAATAGAGAAAGGAAAAGGTGATGTAGCGCACATGTATTGGTTCTTTAGTAAAGCCGTAGCAGAATATATGTTCGGTATACGGATTTTGTATAATACAAACTTTCGGCGCTGAGTTATAGACGCCCATAGTAGAAGCAAAAGGAGAACAAGTAAAAAAGTTAAAGTCGGGTGTCCCGACTGTGAAATACTCTGTACATATGTTTATAATAATAACAGAAATTTAAAAAATTAAGAGAATAAAAAAAAATTTTCGTCGATTTTACCTCTCTTGCAGTGCCGGATTAGCCACGTAGCAAGAGTAGCAAATGCTACGGGCCCCGCGAGTTTGGGGCCCCGTAATAAAAACAAGTAAAAAAGGTAAAGTCGGGTGTCCCGACTTTGAAATACTCTGTACATATGTTTACAATAATTATAGAAAGTAAAAAAAAATAAGAAAATTAAAAAAAAGCAAGATAGAACGCTACAGTCAAGCAAGCCCGACAATAAAATAGCCTGTACTCTCCACAAAAAAGAAAAATTAATAACTTACGCTTTTGGGCAGTACTGTGAACCGTTTGGACCGTAGCATTTTTTATTTCCTCCACTTTGCAGTTGAACTTTTCAAATGCAGATCGCAATGCTTCCATGTCCACATTTGTGCCTTTCCGGTCCTCATTTTTTTTAGTATCGAACTTCTCATGATTGAAAATATAGACAAGGGCAGGCTTTAGCTTCGACTTAGAAGTAGGCGGCGTCATTTTTACTAGTGTCGGTACTGGCTTTGGATTGGAAATGCCCTTGGCATCTAAGACAGTTGAATGTTTGGGAATGGCGCCAGTGCTAGAGTTGCTGCTAGGCCCTTGTGTTTGCGGTCTATTTGATGTTATTGTGGATGGTGAATAGCCAATGGAACGCAGTTTTCCATTATAGGGCGATATATAGGATTCTGTAGTGGAGCTTGTCCCACCGGTTGTGGTCTTTGCACGTGGTGCACCTGTTGATGTTGGATTTGTCGGTGGCCATGTACTCTTTGGTACCTGCCGCGACTGTAGGCGAATCCTTTCCACCTGTTGCGTTACTCGACTTCCACTTTTTTCTTCCACGCTCGACTCTATTACTTTTACCAGCGTGCTGTTGCTCTGCTTATCAGCGAATAACGAACTGGGTATTCTAAAATCATAATTAGCCGAGCACGGTGAATGTGGACTGGAGGCAATACCTTTGCTGCTATGCCTAAAGCTGGTAATCGAACTGGGCGCTAAGCTATTTAGTGTGCTAGGACGTCCGCGTGTCGTTGTTACGGTGGTAGTTCTTGAGGTGCCTGGTGGCATTTTATTGCCGTTGTTCGTATTTATTTTCCCAAACATTTCGATCAATTCGGCCTGAGTTGGAGTGCGCCGCGTATCTATTTGCATTACTCGTTCCTGACGCGTATGCGTCACCGTCTGACGTTGGGAAAGATAAGTGGCGGTGTTGTTGTTCTTGTTGATAATGGTAGAGTTTTGCACAGTTGTATGGGTGGTTTCTGTGGCCGCGCTAGTGGTATTGACGCGAGTCCGCGGATCCTGCGGCACCAGAGACATGTTGTTTCTGTCGGAAGAGCTATCCTTTTCTTTTTTCTTGCCAAAAAGCACCATTTTGTAGGTGCTTTTGTTTTATCCGGCCGCTCGCTTTCCAAACCGGTGTTTTTGCTTAAACGTATCAAAAGCCACTGAACATAAAGCTCTCGACGCCAGCGCGTTGTCGTCGTTTTACTCACACACACATATTCAAATATATATAGTTATAATCTGCAAGAGATAAAGAAGTAGTGGCTCTCTGAGAAATTGCGTATACGCGATATTCAGCAAAAGCAATACAAATATGTATGTATATATAAGAGAAACATAGCTATTTAAGTAAAGTTAAGTTATCAGAAGTGATATTTGTTATCAATTATTAATTAATATACACCATTTAGTCGAATTATGTGCGAATTTAATATGCGGCTTGCGGCTTTACACGACGACTGCTGATTACCGAATTCGCTTCTCTCTTCGACAGTCTGCTGACCTGCTCTCTGCTTGTTATTGTCCCTCTGCTTTGTACCTTTGTCGGTCTGATTGTATCGCCTGTCCCCTTGTATCTTTATTGCTTATCAATGGCTAACCAGTGTTTGCGTTTTGGCAAGACTGTCATACATGTAGTTGTTGTATGTACTGCGTGCATATGTATGAGTACTTGTGATTTATTTGTTAAAATTAAAACAAAAACCAACTATAAACGTACTATGTATGTGTATGTATGTACGAACATACATACATAGGGTAAATCCCGGTATTATTCACGAAATTTTATCATATATGTATGTATGTGTTATTCTCTTTCACGCTCCCAACAATATGCTTAACTTCAAACCATACATTTACACATGCACATGTACATATTCAATAATATACTATACATATATTAAAGTATCTTTTTTTTGGTAGTATCTACTTTGCAAAACTTTAAAATTTTAAGGCAACACTAGTGTTTTGACTCGAGTCGTGTTTTATTCGCTCTGAATTTCCAAGAACTTACCATAGCTTTTAACTGATCGGACACCCGACATGAGCGGCAACAATAATAACAAGACCCAAAGCAAAAGCTCTCCCTGCAAAAGCTCAAGAGCAAAGTTTTCTCTTCGCTTTTTTTATCGATTTTCTTCTTTATGCCGGCTGGCTTTTAACATGAGAACGCAGAAGCAAGCAAAAACAAAACTGACTATAAGTACAAAATTGCATCATACAGTGACCAGTTTGATCAAAAAATGAAATGAAATGATAATGACAACAGCAGTTACAATAGCTTAATTATGCGTTTTAATAACTCTCGTATCTAGATACACACATATCATATTCACGCGTTCAAAAACATAATGCACAACCCATTTGCTGCATAATTATAATTACTAGAATTTTGTCATAACTGTAATAAAAAAGAAGCTAAGGAGCACGCGAGGAAACGTGATATACTATAAAGGATTTTCTAATGAAAAATAGTTTTCCTTTTGGATTGGTTCAACGACCAAATAAAGCTGTCTTTATTGCACCGTCAGCTTTTTTATTACTGATGTTTTGAAAAAACACTTAACAAGACGCTGAAACCGAGAAAAAATCCAAAGCTGGTCCTTTTTCATTCGGTTAGGTTGGGACTTGAAACCACTGTGCAATTCGCCTGCAATCAAACAAAATGTAAGGAAAAGCTTCCGTGCAATTGTGCAATTCAGTGTCAAGGCAGGCGTCGCGTCGCTTGGTTATAAACTGCTGCCGAACCAATTATAAGCCGTAGAAAACAAAACAAGTGCCCAGTCATTTACGTTGTGGCCAGTTAATCGTGAATGAAATTGTATGATAATCGCCATAAGTTAAATAGTAAACCGAAGCTAGCAATCACTTTTAAACAAGCTGCAGTCTCTTCGTTTACTGATTCAATTTATTAATAGAAATATGAAATTTCAGTGTAGCTGCTGTCAATGATAAGATAAAGCTCACATAATGGGTCCTTAAGATTATCACTTTGTTAAGTCTGAGATAACCTTCACATGGGGAAAGTTCAATTTGCATTGGTCTAAAGCAGATGCGACAGTTCCCACTACCCTTATGAATTATATAGATGAAATTGAAATAGGTGGAGAGAAAACTTTTAGACGTCACGTAAATAAGTATAAATGCATTAAAGCTGATAACTAATTAACATACACACGCTATATATGCATATCTCTGAAACTTCAAATGACGACAACAAAAAACGTTGTCAGTCACTTGAGTACAATTACATTTATGTGCAACAATTATAAACGTTAAGATTAAATAAAAAAATATTCCAACATTTTATTCTATGTCACCCTCTATCCTTTCAAGTATTACATATTCTTGCCTAAACTATGCCATTGCTTAAATGATTGCAGCAGCAGGGTTCAATCTTGCGGCAATTTCTTCTATGCTGAAGGGAGCCTTCGCCTTGCTATTGCTGTTCCAAACCTAACTTCAGAAACAGTTGCAGTTCTAGAAAGCCACAGCAAATTTATTTTCAACTACCTTTGTTCTTGGTAGAACCTATGTTATGCTTATCTATTAACCCACAATCTAAAAAAAAATTTGGGACTGTACACCGAGGCATTTTATTTATTATACCCTGTATCTGTATATGTATACATATACATACATATATAATGGCAGAAGGCGTGGCAAACCCCCCAAAGTATATATATTCTTGATAAGCATGACAAGACGAATCGATTTAGCCGTGTCTGTCTCACCATTCGTCTGTATGAACACCAATATCTTGGAGACTATAAGACCTCAAGATGCAACATTTTGCACGCAGATATATACAGTGAAAACTCCCTTAATGGACACCTCTTGTATATGGACACCCCACTTAGGCGTACACATTTTTAGAACATTCGTTTTGGTGTAAGTTTTGAACAAGTTCGCCTCACTTGTGCGGACGCAAAGTATTTTTTGAAAAATTCCAGCTAAAGCCTCTCGTGGTTGGACGCGAACCTCCTAATGGACGTTTCAAATGCATGCTCAATAATAACGGCGATACTCTTAACCAAGTTTCATAATCCGTATTTTTAAGATATTACGGCGAGTGTCCGGCCAAGAGAGTTTTCACTGTATATATGTATATAATATAATTTTTACAAATATTTTTGATAGTGCTTATGTGTCAGAAATAAAGTTTCATGGTGATAGGTATATTGTTAAGAAAGTTATACCCATAAATGTAATCTCTACCAAAGTTCTGTCAGCAGCTGTTGTTAGACACAGTCCCGATGCACAAAAATATGCAGAAATACATCCTTTGAGTATGTTCGAATCCCAATGGATTTCTAATCCATCAAAATACATATGTGTGTTTTTATTACAATTTTGTTTATTGTTTCTTTTTCACATTTGTTAATTTTTTGATTGTGTTTAATTATTCTACACATACTAGGTACAGGGTATTTCAAAGTCACCCGACTTTAGCTTTTCCACTTATTTTTCAATGCCGCTTTTGCCTTATCGGTGCGCTATATCACACAGCTATAAGGAAGCGATGGAGTTTAAAGGCACATGAATAAATATTTGACCTTTCCACTTTCCTGAAGTTAAGCCTTTGTGCGTCTAATCATAGTATATCAGGAATGTGCATATGAAAAGTACAAGGCACCGATATTTTCTGCAAGACATAAATATTCATCAAAAAGATGATTTTTATTTGTTAAGATTTGTTTTGCCTTTTTTAAATAAAACCAACACATTACACTATCACATTCATATTGAGCACGACTTTTTTCTGAGTGTACACAGATAAATTGTCGGCACGCACATTGGCTAAATTTGTAACCGCCTAGCCCATATAACACCTAAAAAGACCCGTTCTCGAAGTGCACTCATCTGCCCCACGCAAATCGTTGCCGCTGACGCTGTAAAGAGAAATGTTGCAAACACTCAATGATGCGTGCAAGATTGCAACCAATGAGCAGCCAATTGTGTTTAATCATTTGGATGCCGACGCAGTTCACTAATTGATGGCAATCTTGTAAATGTATACTTATACATACTTTCATATCTGTACAGTGTACACATATGTATGCAGGTGTGTAAATGTAAATGCATATGTTGTAACGACCAACTGTTCTAAACAAACTGTCATAAATGTAAAAACTGTCGTGACTGCCTTTATGGTTTTACAAAACAACATTTAACACATTTACTTTAGTAATCAAACTTAATTGTGAAATGTGCGACAATTTGTATTTATTTACAAATGTTTACAAGAAAGGTGCACTCACCTCAGTCTTAACGCTTTATAGCGCTCTTTATTAATTTATCCATTGAATAATTTTTAATCGTAAATTAATTATTTTTGGTTTTTAAAAAAAGCAGTCCCAACTAGTTATAGTTAAATGATATACAATTGTTTAAAAAACGTGTTTTTCATAGTAACACTTGAGCATTTCAAAATATTAGTTTTAAACTTGAAAAGTCATTTTTAAGTTTAATTTTACTTAAATCTTAACTTTAATAAAATTCCAGAAAATAGTGTTTTTGCTTCAACAAATCCAACTCTTAAATATCCTGTACATACTTCTTCAAAAACTACACAAAAATATTTGTAAAATTATTTATTTATTTATACTGCGTACACGTATACACAAGTCATCTGTGTGCAAAATTTGGTGCCTCTTATAGTATATTCTCTGAGATCCAGGTGTTCATACGGACAAACACCACAATCCTAATAAAGTACTATATTTAGCTACGATTGCAAAATAAAAAGCTAAAATTATTATTTCTGAAAGCCGATAAGTATGTATTTGAAATGTACTTATTGTAATTATAGTTAACAGAAGTATATTATATACATATATATATGTATTTGTGCTTTTAATTTCACAGTCGGTATTATAAGGTTAATTAAGAAAACTCAAAAGAGCTTGACACTTGCTACGCGAACCGCTCTGCGTGACGCTCGTTGATTTTTTTCTTTTTTCAGAGAAATTTCTCTTGACAATGGTATAGAAGCGCATTAGTCAGGCAGTAGCTTCGTTATTTACACAGACACGCGACAATATGTTTTTGATTTTACGAATTGCCGAGCACAGATAAGAAGAGCAAGCGGCAAACCCCAAACATTTTCTGTTTTATTAGAGATCGGCGATTCCGACAGCGCTCTGCAGCGGTGCACTTCAGTGAGGAGCGAGCTCGCCCTAACGACGGTCACAGACACGGTACTTGGGCAAATAAAAAAGTGGTTACTAAACTCCTTGTGTGAAAAACTGTGACTTTTAGCCATGGCCGCGGCCCTTGATTTTGATGATATCCTAACTGAAATAGGCGAATTCGGGCGATATCAGAGACGCAATTACCTGCTCATTTGCCTGCCCGTGCTCTTTGCGGCAGCCAATAGCTTGTCGTATGTGTTCACAGCAGGCACCCCGAAGTACCGCTGCTACATAGCCGAGTGCGATGCGGATATATCGCCCGAGTACCAGACGGATTGGCTGGAGCATGCCATGCCAGGCACTTGGGACAAGCACCACCAATTTACGCCCGCGACGTGCGATCGCTACATGGCCAATGATAGCTCTTACGATCAGGCTGGACAGTGCAGTTCCTCCCAGTTCCTGCCACAAACAGAACGCTGCAATCAATTCGTATACGACGGCCAGGAGCAGACCATTGTACAGGACTGGCAACTGACATGCAAGGAAAACGCCTGGAAGCTTGCACTAGTGGGCACTATTCACTTTGCCGGCTTGGTTGTGGGCACGGCGCTCTTTGGCTACTTGGCAGATCGGTGAGTTAATTTCGAATATATTGACATATGGGAGTGTCTTGCAATTCCTTTCGATTTACATATAGCCAATCAAAAGCTAAAAGTTAGCTACTATATTAATATAGTGTGCTGACACAATGTGCTGGTGCTTTCGCTCCTACATGGACTGCCGGCATTATTGTTTTGGGTCGTACATTAGATTTTCGATGGCCTTTTGTTTAGTTCTGTTTGTCAACAGGCAGAGTCAGAACACCGTTCATTTGATCGGTTTTTCTTCTATGTTATCTTTGCCGTTAATAAGGATTTTCTTGAAGAAATAGTGCATATTCCTCATTCATTTTGTTTCTTAATTTGCTGACAACGGGATGAGATCGTCTTTAGCACCTATGTTGCTAAACGTTAAGCCGTGCTAAATAAATCAATATTATACCGTCCTGGATTGTAAGCAAACAATTGCTTTTTCAATGCCACCATTTGCCTGAGATTTTGGAAATGTGTTCTTCCTGAGTTATCCAAATCAATGTTTCTTTCTGAATGGAGAACTTGTTTAGTCCCTTATATGCTACCGCTTATGTATAACTTTTTGTTATATATTATGTCTTTAAATTATTCTGGGACAATCTCTCTTAAGTTTTAATTAACACTGTCCCGCTCTCTTTCGAATAGAACCGTATCTGCGTTCTGCTTGTGATTTGCACATAAATCTGTTCTTGCCAGCATTACGTCGCCTGATGCACAAGCCCTTCTGGGCTCTGCTGGCATCGTTGCGTAAGCTTCTACCGGCCTCTGCATTCAAGCCCTACAGAAATGAAAATGGTATTATTATACTATAGTTCAGTTTGGCAATTTTTTTTTTTTTTTTTTTTTTTTTGTTTAACAGTTGATTTAAATTTGCAATCTGTCCTAACGGACAATCAGCAAATTATACTGGAGGAACATTGGCATTATGATTTTGTATTATGTGTGGCTTTGTGGAGAGATGGATTGATGAGTTTAGCTTGTGCGATGAGGAAGGTCAAGCGGGTGGTATCTTCTCAGACGGCGGGTGGAGTTGCTGTTGTTAAGCAGGTTAATTGCGAGGGGATTGGTGTGCCTGTCCAGTCGCTCTCGTGAACCCATGGGACACCGAGTTCGTTCTGAATCTCCACGGTTGAGTGGAATGGGTGCGCATTGGAGATGGTTCTGAAGTTTGGCATTCGTTACAGATTTTTAGTCCTTGCGTTGTAAGCGTGGTGTTACATTTGGCGTCAGAAGCATAGCGATTTCCACCATATTACAATCATGCAGGATCATTGCAGAAGTAAAAATAAGAAGTGAAATGAATCAAATTTGTTCACTAATACACACCTTTTCTAAGAACGATTTTGATGAAGTGGGAAGGAGGGCCAAAATCAAAATAATAAAATTATCTCGTGTTAAATGATTAGGAGAGTCTACATTCAAAATACTTGTTGATTAATGTGGGTTGAGTTCATTACGAAATCCAGACAGGCTAGATTTTTTTTAACAAAATATATTTGCACTTAATTTTGTTCATCGTGCTTCTACTATACGCGCATATAGTATAACAATGCGTATACTCGGCTGTATTATTATATCTTGTTTATATAAGACTCATTTGTTAAGATAGGAAGATAGAAGACAACAATGTAGTCATTTCAATTAACTCTATTCAGGTTTGGACGCAAACTGGTGTTCCTATTCTGCATCATCTTCATGGCGGTAACAGGCGTGGCGCAAGGTCTAGCTTGGGACTACCCCAGCTTTCTGGTCTTTGCTCTTCTCAATGCAGTAGGCACGTCGGGCGTTTATCCTCTCGCCTTTATAATTGGCGTGGAGATGGTCGGAATACGTAAGCGAGAGATGTCATCCATTGTGCTCAACTATTTCTATGCAATTGGTGAGGCGCTGCTGGGCCTGGCCGCTTGGCTCCTACACGACTGGCAACTTATCCAATATGCGCTATCCATTCCCCCACTTTGCTTCTTCGTTTACTTCTGGCTGGTTCCCGAGTCAGTAAGTACAATCAACTCTAATAAATTAATACTATATAAAATATTTATGACATTTAACAAATTTCTGAAATATGGCGCTATAAACACACAAATGCCCGTTATTTAAAATCCTAGGTGCGATGGCTTCTGGCACGTAATGAGCACGAAAAGGCAGGTGTAATAATTAAAAGGGCAGCGCATGTAAATCGCCGTGAATTGTCGCTGGAACTTCTGGCGAACTTCAAGCAACAACAACTGGATGCGCAAAACAATAAACCGCAGCAAAAGTCACATGAAGAGCGCAAAATTTGGCTGGCCGTTAAGCAGGTCTTTGCCTCGCGCACTCTCGTCATACGCTACATCATCATGTTATACATCTGGTGAGTTGTGAATCGTTCCTTCCAACGTCCAACAACACGGAGAAAAATAATTTAAGAATTGAAAATTAGCAATTGTTGAAAATAATTGAGGACCTGAATTATGCTTCTTATACTTACAGGGCAGTCAATGCCATTGTCTACTATGGACTGTCGCTGAACTCTACCAGTCTAAGCGGCAATAAGTACTTAAACTTCGCGCTGGTCTGCCTCATTGAAATACCGGGTTATAGTCTGGCCTGGGTATGTGTTGTATCAAATAATTTCAATTAACGAGCTTACTCAACCGATGGCTCTAATACAGCTGTGTCTACGAAAACTGGGCCGTCGCCTCTCGCTGTCTGGCTCGCTACTCCTGTGCGCCATCACCTGCGTCACCAGCGGCTACATTACCCTAGGTAGGTCATGTTTCCAGTACTTCAGCCTTGTACTAATGTTAATCGAAAAATTTTCTGCCACATGTCTGCCAAGTGCAAAGTGATAAAGCCACACGTAAAGTCTTTATTATTTAACTTATGCAATTCATTAAACAAATGCACAATGTCGATGTTATATAACATATGTACATATGTATGTATGTATGAATGGATGAATTTATGTATGCACAATTCCTGAAGGAAACTTTGATTGTTTAGCTTACTATGTATGTATATTATATATACGAGTATGTATGTATGTATTTTTATTAATGCTAAGCGCACAGTAAAATGTTGAGGGCTGTTAACTGACCAACGGATAATGGGTGAGACTCGAAATGAGAAAAATAAGTAATAAGACCAAAGTCAGTAGTATTCGAATTAGTATTATTCGTTCAAGTCATTTAGATCATATACATATAAAACTGCAAAATACATTTATATACTTGTATGTATCTACACAGATAGTGTGGATATATTCTTGGTTTTGGAAATATTAAGATAAATCGAAACCATAAGTAGATCCTACAGTAGATTCACAAAACAATTACTTTATTTAAGTAAGTGTGCCACGATATTGCGCTTAGACCAAGCCTCTTATAAAACTCTGCATTGGAATTGTGTCACAGGTAACAATTGGCTGGTGATTACCCTCTTTCTCATCGGCAAGCTTGGCATTACCTCCTCATTTGCGGTCATTTACACCTACACCGCGGAAATGATGCCTACGGTATGTATATAAATATAAATATCTGCCTCCAATGAGTCTAGCCATTTCTTCTATTTCTATTTTTTTGCAGGTTATACGCAGTGGTGGTGTTGGCATAATGTCCACTTTTGCAAGATGCGGTGCTATGCTGGCGCCTTTTGTACCCCTGCTGGTGAGCTTAATGTACAGATTTTTCAACGGGCCGATGATCTAATCAAATTACTCTACAGGGTGGATATTATGAATCCTTGCCCTTGCTGCTCTTTGGTGCTTCATCACTGACAGCCGGGTTGCTATCCCTCCTGCTACCAGAGACCTTTAACAAAAAACTGCCTGATACGGTAAGATACTTGATCAGCAGTGAAATATTTTTACAGTCTACACTTATGCCTCTCTAGGTTGCTGACGCTATTGCTTTGGGTAGCAAGCGAATCGCGAGAACAAGTTCGAGCTCCAGATGCTCACATAGCCCACAGAAAGAATCGAACATTTGAATCTCGTTATTATTAAGTTCGATTCAATTTTTTGACTAAGTGCCTGGAATAAATGCGCTTTTACTCAAATTTACATAATTTTCTTTTAATATAATTAAATTGATAATATCCTTCAACCCAGCTCATTCCCCAAAAAGACCAACAAACAACTGGGGATCGGTTACAGTTCCTAAACGATGTAACAATTTGTAGCGACGATTTGAACAATTGGGATCACTTATCAATTGATAGAAACTAAAGCGAGGTGGGCCGCTCTGATCCCAAACTGTCGGTATATCATCGATGGCAATCAGCGTCTCCTTTCTACGTCCCCAAAAATCAACATAGGCCAACTTCAAATGGTCCTCCGGTTCATTTATATAAATAAAGCCAACTAGGTTTTTAGCAGCATAGCTGCCCAACGTAAGCGTAATGAGTCCGGTGACGCCAATAGAAGCACAAACACTAGCTGCATGAGTGGATATATGCCCAGCTTCCCCAAGTGCAAATGCCAGCGGTGTACCAGCGGCGGTAAGCAAAGCTTGGTAGATTTTCAATCGGTTGAAGGCGGACACAAGGCGTATAATGGGCAGTTTATATATTGTACGCCATTCAGTCGTTTTCTCAGTAGAGACCTCAGTCTTTGTTTTTATTACTGCCGGCTCCTGGACTGTGGCTATGTTGCGCCAGTTATGTTGTGGTTGTATTGCTGTGATTTTCGTTGTGCAGCTCACACTTGGAAACCAGGGCAATTTTGGGATGCGCCGCAACACTAAAAATGATTAATTTTAAGTTAGAAATTAACTGAATACCGCGTTCTTAATAGTACCCACTTATTAAACAACCTTTGCAACCAAAACAGAAACAGCTGCACATTTTAATCGATTTATTGCTTCTATCGATAGGTAACAGCTGTGCAGCTATAGCAATTTAAACTGCAAATGGCAATGCTGCAAACTAATTATGCGCGGCGCTCGCTTATTTTCAAAGCAAAGAGCACTAAACAGAAAACTGACAGCCATGGCAAGGACCCGTAAAAAGGATAATAAATAAATAAATAAGTAACTACTAAAGCTAATTTGGTGTTAGCTGGCATTGCTAGTGGCACGCAGTGAAAATTGAGCGGAAACTCTCGTATAAATATAGATCTAGTCGCCTGAGCACTCTCGCGCAAGCACCAAACAAATGTAATTTTTAGTCGTTAGCTTGTGCTCGCAACTATCCGATCACGTTGTGTGCCGTAGACACTTTGTGCCTGCGTGTTGCGTTTGCCAGATGACAATATATAGTAATCATATAGTACGTATTTGTTATTCATACATGTATGTATACACGAAAAGTGAAATTGTCTTTAAAATTATGGAAAAATTCAATTTTATTTCGCGCAACCAGCCCTATTGCATAAAGTGTGACCAATTGTAATTACATATAACTAAAATTAAAATACTTGATTGACAATACAAAGAAAATCTTGAAGCAACAAGAAAAGTACACAAAAATTTTGATTATTTTGTTGCAACTATTTATAGCGTAACTTTGGCGTAGTGCAAATACGAATTTTTTAGCGTAGATACATATGTACATACATACATACATATGTACATCTTTCTCCTGTATTAATTAAAATCAAAAATAAATATTTAAAAATTAATAAACTAAAAATTTAGAGGGAATATTGAGCATACTCGCACAATGGCTCCAGCCAATATTATGAAACCTATGCGGCGTATGCGTAATATAAAACGTATACATGATATGAAAGATGAGTTTACAAATGCAAATAATAAATAAATGAATTTTAAAATATATAAAGTTATTCCGCTTCAAACATTTTCGATATTATAAGTACAAAAGAACATTAATTTCCGGATACTTTAATATAAATGGAGGTTTTAATTCATATGCCATCCTCTCTAGAGCTACGTTAAGTAACAGCCCCTGTTCGAAATGTCGCTCGCCTCCCTAGGCATCAGCGCTGGCTTCATGGTCGGCTGGTGCATAGCCGCTCAAATCGCTCGTCGAGTAACCCGGCGCCTGCTCACCAACGAGGGCATTGTGCCGGTGCTTATGAATGAAGCTATAGCAGCCGCCGAACTGTGTGCTTGCTGCTTCGAGCTTATTATTGGTAGGTGTTTAATTTCAGAACAAGATTTCTAGCATGGAAAAAAGTGATAAAGTCTCAGAGGTCTCTAAACATCTCATCTCATCTACACAGTGGCAGACAATTTTGGCGTGGCAGCCTACGCAATCTTCCTGTTCATGCTGACCGTGTGGTGGGGCAAGGTTTGGGGCGATGCATCCGCCTGCCCCTACACCCACATGGAGGACATGCTTGAGGGGCGCACAACGTTTAAAGAAATGGCATTGCGAACTTGGGCGGAGCTGATGGGTGGCTGTTGCGTCTACCGCATTGTTCAGGTCTTCTGGTGGCTTGAATTCGCAGAAACACACAAAGGCCGGGCATTTGAGGAGTGTAGCGCTGACTTAAAAGTTAGCCCCTACGTGGGCGCCGCTATTGAGGGTGTGGCCACACTGCTCTGCCGCCTCGCCTCAAAAGCCATAAGCGAGAAGGAGCCGAAATTCAGCAGCTATATTGACTCCTTCATTGGGACCAGCCTGGTGGTGGCAGGTAAGCCAGCCCGCCCACGACGAGGCCATAAATACTTTGCCATGTGGTCTTTCTCAAAAAAGTTTACGCTTTTAACTATTTACTGCTTGCAGCTTTCAATTTCTCCGGCGGCTACTTTAATCCTGTGCTAGCCACGGCTCTAAAGTGGGGATGCCGTGGACACACAAATCTGGAGCACATCATTGTGTACTGGATTGGTGCGTGCGTGGGCGCAGTGTTGTCGGTACCTATCTTCAAGCTTCCAAAGGTGCGTCGCTTTTTGTTGGGCGAACAAAAGGAGAAGGAAGAGTAAGATGGATGATGTGGTGTGCAGGCTGAGATGACAGCAACAACAGCGAGTAGTTCTAGTCCATTATTTATTTATTTAACTTTTACGTTGTTAGTACTTTTAACTTAATATTTATAATTGTTTTTGTTAATACATATCATAAACATAATTAAAGTATATTTCTAGCTTGAATATATTAATACACATATAGCTTTTATGACAAAATTGTGGTATGAGACTATTATATAGTTCGAAATTTTTTTTCACATACCTTATTCTTGACAGCACTCCAATTTAAAACAAGAGAGAACGCTACAGTCGAGCAAGCCCGACAGTAAAATACCCTGTACCCAAACAAACTTTCGTCACTGAGTTATATGCGCCCATAGCAGAACCAAAAAGAGGAAGAAGAAGAGCGAAATTGATGCTGCAGTTTGGGGGGGTTTTACTGGAGAAAATTGGTTTCGCTAATAACTTTTCTTAGTCCGAAGTGGATAAAATTTTAAACTGAAGGAGATAACTGTACATTGATTGCGTGTTTACATAGTTTGGTGTATGTAGCTTTTGAAATGTAGAGAGTATTGACGAAACTCTGTAGCGGAGGAAGGGGGGAAAATTCAAAAAAATAAAATAAACTCGTCCTTTCTCGGACCTAGGAGAATCTGGATACCAACTTTGGTTATTCTAGCTTTTATAGTTTCTGAGATCCTTGCGTTCATCCAGACAGACAGACGGGCGGACATGTCTATATCGATTTCTCTCCTCATGCTGATCAAGAATATATATTCTATATGGGGTCGGAGATGCTTTCTTCTGCATGTTACATACTTTGCACAAATCTAATATACCCTTTTTACCCTACAGGGTATAAAAATCTGCTTAGACTTTTAAAAAGGTCTGCATACATATACAAGGTGTGTTCTAAAGTAAACAGGACTTTAAAAAAACAAATGGAACAAATGAACAAATGGTTTTTTCGTCATAATCAATTTATTTTATTCAAAATAGTCTCCTTCTGCTTCAATACAACTTTTTGCACGATCCAAAAGCATGTCGAACGAGTGTTTTAGCTCGTTGGCCGGTATGGCCGCCAGTATGCCGGTGCAAGCCTTTTGAATGGCCTCTACATCTGCATAACGCTTTCCTTTCATGGGCAAATGCATTTTTCCGAAAAGGTAGAAGTCGCACGGTGCCATATCAGGTTAATACGGCGAGTGGTTAATGGTTAAAATGTGATTTTTGGTCAAATAATCGGTCACAAGCGTCGATCGATTCTGAGCAATTTTTGGACGTCAGTCAATTTGTGCGAAACAAACCGTGCACACACCTTTCGTAAGCCCAAATGTTCGGTCAAAATGCGATAAATCGATGTTTTGGAGATGTTCAATTCCATTTCCATCAATTTCAATGATGATTTCGGCTGATTTTTGATGAATTCACGCACAGTTTCGATGGAATTTTCGGTGACCACGAATTTTGATTGGCCCACATGTTGATCATCATTTATGTCCTCACGGCCACTTTGAAAACGTTGAAACCACTCGTGCACTCTGCTACGGGATAGGCAATCATCGCCATAAACTTGTTCCATCAATTGAAACGTTTCGGCAAAAGTTTTACCAATTTTAAAACATAATTTAATGTTGGCTCTTTGTTCGAAGCTCATTTTCGCACCGATAACACAAACATACTGACACTTAAAACGCAATAACTTCACTTCTAATCGATGAAATGTCATGAAATTCTCACTGGACAATCGATAAAGAGAGCAGATTCTAACGCACCAGTCGACATATAGATAGCGCCACCAGGAGGGGTTACTAGGGGTAAAAACTAGATAATACGGGTCTGTTGCATTGCTGAGGGCATTGAAATTTCTTGTTCGAGGCTCCGTTGGTTTGAATTAACTTTAGTTCCTATTTTTAACATACACGTATTAAACATTTTATTTATCACAATAGTAGGTAATTTCATAGACAAATTTATAAAAAGGGTATTATTCTGTGCTAATTTTTCTGATCGACACTTTCAGGAGTTGGCGCTATACATCGCCTACGTCCTCGTCGTGTAACCCGTAATATGACCTCATCATTTATACGCTCGAATTGATAATCACTGTTGCCCAATGAACAGCGCTTAGTAATTAGGGTCTTCTCACTACGGTCGTAATCGCTTATGCTTGTATTATTTTCGGGATTCAGACTCGATGTATTGATTGTCTCATCAATGGTCACATTAAGGGAGTCAGACGCCGAATTGTCTGCAACCGGGGTTCCTGGGGTTTGCGGTACATAATGTTCTTCTCCACTATCGTCAGTTAGGTTTAGTTTGCGCTTCTTCAAGGGCGTCGTGTCACTTGTCTCGGGGGATATGATTTGCCCGCTCTCCTTGATTGACTCTGCTTCAGAAGCTATGCGCGCCCCCGGTTTCTTAATTTTTATTTTCATTTTCATGGGACTGTTACGCTCGATTTCAGCAACTCGCTCCGCGTTTCGTTCTTTTTTGCGGCCTGTGGTTTTTGATGCTGCTACTGGTGATTCGCTTAAGATTTCTAAAAGATCTTTTTTTGGTGTTTGCTGTAATTTCATTGATGTTGAGGTCACAGCGGCTTCATCCACTTGCGATGTTTGCTGATGCAGCTTCTGCATTGTCAGTTCAATGATATCAGCTTCCTCACCCAAATTGAAATCGCTCTTTCTGGGGGTAACCATGGTAATTTTGTCTGAATCTGTGATAAGCTCAATCATGGCAGCCTCGAGTGTGGCATCATCATCACGGTCGTCGTGTTGGTCAGCTCTTGTCGAGTCCGGTTGGGCATACATAATAGGTGCTGGCTTACTTTCGGCGACTTTTGAAGTAGTCTCTTTGTTGAGAACATCATTCTTTTTATCTTGAATTAATGCTGAAATTGGCTCATGCTGTTCTTCAAAATACTTCTCAGGTATTTTCTCTACGAAACTATCTTTCTCAAGGTCACCTTCATTGTGTTCACAGTTTTCGGAGCTTTTCAGTATATTACTTTTAGAATCGATGTTGGGCAAATTTTCGATTTGTTTATCGCCTACACCTACCTTTTTCGCTTCCAGAGCGTTGTCATGTACCAACTTACTATCAAAGCTATCCATCTGCACTGCAATATGCTCTATGTCCATATTGTTGGGTAAACGAATATCCTCAATTATCTGTATACCTTCAATAGGTCGTGTTGGTGAGGCCAGATGTTCGTTATCAAGCTCCATTTCAATAGCCGACAAACAATCTCCGGACGCAGGTATAACATCTTCTTGTACAATAACATTACGGTCTTTTACACTCTCACTATTACTATGAGGACTTGTTAGTATTTGTTCGGTATCGTCAGCAATTTTCTCAGGCCCATTTATTTGCAGTTCGTCTATATCATCACTCTTGAAATCCTTCTCTGCACCCTCTTCAGCTTTTAAGCCTTTCAGAAAATTACTTTCTCCAGTTATTTCAACACTCCGTTGCGTTTGTTTTGGCTTCGGTTCGCGAGATATATTTTCTTCCCCCTCGAGATGAGTGCTTTTATTGATATTAGTAGCTTTTGAAAGATCATTCCGATCCTCTTGGTCTTTTGCATCTATTTCTTGGCTTTGGTTCTTCTGAGTGGTTAGTTCTTCGGTAATCTCTGCACGCTGAACAACCATTTCTGCCGGCAGAGGTTTCTCATCCGTTCCCTCAAAAGTTTTACTAATGTCCACATTACGGAGCACAACCTCGCCACCTCCACTGTTGTTATTTTTTTCTGGTGCGTCTGACGTTTCTTTGTTCGGCATGATTTTCGCTGATTCAACTACCATTTGCCCAGTTTCCTTCATTTCTTCAGTCATATGGTCTTTCATATTATCAACAAACAAAGTAGGCTTCTCTTCTTGTGCAGTCCCCATCAGATCCAATCCCGGGATTTTCTCAGTTTTCGTTTTAGTGCTCCAAAAGCTTGAATTGATAATACTTGCTTTTTTCGCAACCAACGCAATATCAATATTCTCTAACAGTTGTGCAACACTTGAGGCAGCTAAAGGTTCTGTGGGATTTACTGTAATTGAAGAATCTTGCTGCAGGGTATTTTTAACAAAATAGCCATCAACATCTGCTTGGGTGGGGTTTTTTTCATTTGACTTCACATCCACAATATTCCCTAAATGTTGTGGAGTGTATTGCTCAATTGGCGTAAATGGAGTCACATCTTTTTCCAATTTGTCCAAAACAGCGGCAATGGTTTCACTGCTAATGTTGGTTGGAATAAGAGACGTAGGTGGTGGAGTTTGTCCAAAAAGCGATTGCAGCTTATCCGAATCCTTCGCATGGGGTTTAAGTGGTTCTCGAGTTAATTCGGGTGATTTGGATCGATAACGCTTGGCATGCCTATCGTGACCGCTGCAAATATTTAAATGAGCCTTTATATAACAGCAAAATTCTTGTGGCAAATGCTCGAAGCACCACCATACCTGGACTTCATGGATCTTGAACGAGAACGAGAGCGACTTCGTCGGTTGAAACGCGTTTTACTTTTACTGTCATGTTCCCGACTACGCAACCGGTCGCGACTTCGTTGCCTATCTCGGCTATTGTGACGTTCGTCTCTAGAGGATCGACTAGACGATTCATGCCATTGACTATGATTTTGTCCATGTCCACGTGAGTATATATCATTTAAGTGGTGTCTTTTTGGCTCCACATCAGATTGCTGTGTCTTTGATTTATTTTCTCCAGCTCTGTCTTTACTTTGTTGCGCCGGTGATTTAGTATATTTTTCACGTTTGACAGCGTCGCGTCTATTGTCTTCACCGAGCTGGTCCTGTTCCCGATTGTGACTGTGTTGCTTTTCTGTTGTTCTCTTCTCATTGTCTTTTTTCTGACGCGGGTCTTTGTCGTAAGAAGCTCTATCAACTGAGGGATGCTTCTTTGGCTCAGCATCTGACTTATGTCTGGATAATTTGTGGCCCGTTAATTTTTCCTGATAATCGCTTACATCCTTCGTTTTTTTATTAGGCGGCCTTTGACCTACTGACTCTGCTTTAGGTTGCGGGAGCTCATCAGCATCTTCGCTTATCTCTTTTCGGATCGTGTCCTCTGGCTTTTTAAGCAGGCGCTCCGTATTTCCAGTCTGCAAAGAACCTGGTTCGCCAAACTTGGCACGCTTACGTCGAAAACATATGTCATCCTTTCTGTAATAACAAACAGGAAAATATGAGACTATGCTCCCACAAAAACACCAGTCCTTAGTTACTCTTTCCGGAGCTCAGTTATAATTGTCTCCTTTCGCTTAATTTCTGCTCTGGCGGTTTCAAGAAGATTCTGAAGATTCACCTCCATTGTTTTTACTTTCTTATTCAGTGCTTTATTTAAGGACTGCAAGCCTGCAATTTCAACCTTAGCATCTTCGTATTTTTGTTCCCATGCCTGCAGTTCCTTTGATTTCTGTTGACCCACAAAAGCGCATTAATGAAGAAACGTCGTGAACTCGCCAAGACTCACCTGCTCTTCCACTTTTTGAAAATCGTCCAAATCATCATAAATGTCCAATTCATCGCCCAACATTTTTAACAATGCAGATGGAGGTAAATATTCGCTATGGACAACAGTGTTGTTAAATTTTATCATTGCACCAATTTATGGGCAGCACTTTGTACGTAACGCTCAATTTCAAATAGAAATTATATCATCTCATTCTCATTATTTGTCAGCAGAAATTTATTTAAATACGACATAAGCAAAACTATTTTTTAAGAAAGTTCTAGATAATGCCATGGGCGATCGTTATTCTCAACTGTATTACTACAAAAAGAGGCGACAAAAATTTGCATGTACAGTTTATATTCTAGCACTGGTATTTCTTATACTTGCATTCATTCAATGGTTTCTTTTTAATTATATGTAAGTACATTTATATAAACCTATAGTACAAATGCATTCAAACATGTGCCTCTTACAGCTCTGATGTAGCCACCATATTCATTGATTATTACTGGATAGGTATAATATTTTTTGTAATCGCGTTGATTTTAATTATAGTTTTCGTATTTTTTGAAAACTTACGTTTTCTAACTCCGTGTAATTGGATTTTGGCCTTCCTAATAGTAAGCACAAAAAAAATGTAATATTGTTACCACTTTTTCAAATACTATAAATACGAACTTTTCTTTAGATTGAATGCTTAATACTCGGCCTTGCTCCCTTGATTCCACGTCAGTATCTGCTTCATTTTGTAGTCAGTTTCATTATTTGGGCTGCGGTTCTGTGGCTTTTCATATTAATAGGGTCATTTCTACCGGTAAGGAGGTGTCTCAAAATCGACTGCTATTATAAATTAATGTTTTCTTCTAAAATAGCATGATTTAACTTTGGACGTAGTCGTGCTTTTCGTTATCGCTGTGGTGGCCATTGTAGGGGCTGTTTACTTTCTCATGCTTTATATTGTAATCAATGTACCCTATTCCTTTTTTGTGCATCGGGGATTTATAGTTCTAAGCATTGTATTGGTGCGTATGTCAACATTGTTCATACATATTTGCATAAAAAACTAACAGTTAACAGTTTGTCATGTATCATGCCCAAATTATTAATGGAAAACGCTTTGCCGAGATGCGTGTACAAGACTATTTGTTGGGCGCCATAATACTTTTTCTTGATTTTCTGTTAATGTTTTTATATTCATTCTACTTGGCACCAAAATGGTCGGACAAGTGCGACACCGAACGAAATGCTACTAGTTGGATGGTTATCAAAGAAAAAGATGACCATCGGACATATCCAACAAGGGACCCAAAAGCCTTTGAATATATGATGACTACATTGGAGTAAGCGCAAACTCTTTAAAATGAAATATTTTTCAAAATGTTTTATTACCCACAGTTACGATTAATTTCCTGTAATTCAAATGAATGCCTGAGCTTCAAAATTAAATAAAAAACCCTTGTTAGTTGATGGGTCGCACTGTTTTTGTACTTTGGGAAATTCTTACTTTACAGCACTGGCATTACTTTGGCGCATTTTCACAGCTGCTGTTGCCGGTTTTTTGTTGTTTCTTTTTGTTATTCTTATAAATGCGAATAAACTTTAAGTGGCACAACGCAACGCTGACATAAACAAAAAGTGAAGCCAGGTCACAGTTTATTAATAATTCAATCTAAGCTTGTGGTCAGTCCAATTGTTGCCATGGATCCCACAATTTCTGTTTCCAAAGGCTGTTTTGTTTATAAAAATAATGCAACCCGTGCTGGCAAAAAAACTCCCGCCAAACGTAAACACAGCAGTGTTCTTGGCCAGGAGATCACAGCTCAGCCGTTCTACTCAGCGTACTCAGAGTGCTGGCAAAAGCTGGAATCCCATATTGCGCAGCTGCAGCATCAGAGCTATTCGCGCACATTGGAGCATCTTATCGAGTACGTGAAGAAGGAGAGCGTAGGCATAGGGGACAAGGACGACGAGATTTTACCCACGGCAGCACTTCTAACAGGCATCAATCAGCCAGACCATCTAAATCAGTTCGAAACACTCACCCGGCGCTTACACTCAGAAAATGCAGCACGAGTTTGTGTGCTCCAATCCCGCGACTGTAGCACCCTCAAAGCAGCCGTCGAAGCCATGGTGTACAATTTAATCGAGGCACAAAGCGCCGGAGGTGCTCTCTCTGCAGAGGAGCTAGACTGCGATGAAGAGATCGAACGTGATCGAAAGCGCTTGCGCCGCACGCAATGCACAATGAAGCAGCTCAAAGCCTGGTATCTTAACAACTTCGATACCTCACAAAATCGTCGAGCTTTGGTTATCATACTACCCGACTTTGAATGCTTCAACACAGCCGTGTTGCAGGATTTCATACTTATACTTAGCGCACACTCCAGCTCTCTGCCATTTGTCCTGGTGTTGGGAGTAGCCACGGCCATGTCCGCAGTCCACAGTACGCTGCCGTACCATGTGAGCAGCAAAATCAAATTGCGAGTCTTTCAAACTCAACCGGCACCTGCTGGGTTGAATGAGGTGCGTATAAGGCAGATGAATTTTAAAAAAGGTGGTTACTACACGGCAAAAAAGATGTGATAGATAGCATTAAATGCACATATTCTAGATATATTGTAGTGTACCAGATTAGATTCCCTCAACATTCTTGGCTAATTGGGTGACACAATAAAAAAAAAGGTAGCTAATTAAGCATCAAGCTGAGCTACTACTATTTAGATTTATACATTTTATTTTGAGATAAAAGTAAAGTAAAAAAAAGTTGAAGTAATAGAGCAGATTCATTTGATTCGGTTTAATATTTTATCTACATATACTCGTATATAATTACAAGGGGCTTCAACCATAATTAATGTGAAATCTGTTTGCTTAAAACAATATATATTGTAAACCCAAAATCCACTCAACTAGGGAATGTATTTTAAAAACGCCAGGTTTGGTTTAATGTATGTATTTTGAATTTTGAACACGATGTATAAATGCACAACATTTTCCACAGATGCTCGACAAAGTGCTGCTCTCGCCTCAATATACCTTCCATTTATCCGGGAAGGCCTTCAAGTTTCTTACGTACATTTTTCTCTACTATGACTTCTCCATACAAGGCTTCATTCAGGGATTTAAGTACTGCCTCATGGAGCATTACTTTGGCGGTAATGCTTATGCACTGTGCACGGACTATAGCCAGGCACTGACTCGCATCAAATCCCTGACTCATGATGACATGGAAACCATACGACGCCTACCCTCATTTCGTCCTTATGTGGAAGGCATAAACGACTGCAAACGAATCATAGCCGTACTCACAGATGATGACTATTTGAAAAAAAAGTTGCCCCAGCTTTTACGCGATTGTATGCTCCATTTTATGCTCTTTCGTTGTAGCCTAGAATTCTTTACGGAACTCGTTCACGACTTACCGCGTTGCCCGCTTGGAAAACTTCGGCGTGAACTCTATGTCAATTGCCTGAACAAGCCAATCACACAGCAGACTGAGTACAAGGAATGTTGGCAGATGCTCGGCTTTCTCTCCAAGTATGAGTTTGTCACCAAAATCTCTAAATGTATTGCCTGCACCGAGCAGTTCATTAGCAATGATATTGAGCCACTGGAGTTGGGCGACGCATGCGCGTCTTCCATGCGCAACCAACTGAAGGAAATACAGCAATTGCTTACTAACGTGGTCATGGCTACCATGGAGACGTCTGGCCCAGCAGCCACAGCAGCGACAGCCCCTCTGGCAGGCAGCACGGATCTCACACATGTGGCTTCGCGGCATGAGCTAAAAGCGCAGCTATTGCAGCGCAGCAAGCAGGACAAAGAACAGCAGCCAACCACGGAGTATGCGAAAGCTTTACAACTCATCCTGCAACACATCGAAACGCATTTGGTAATGAAGTACCTACGGCCGCTACAAAACGCTCCTCCGCTCCACGAGCTTTATATTTTTAGCGACATTTCGACGGTGCGTCGCAATATAATTGGCGCGCCCCGCGCTGCATTGCACACCGCACTAAACAATCCACATTTCTATATGCAATGCAAGTGCTGCGAACTGCAGGACCAGTCGCAGCTGGTCAGTACATTACCCGATCTGTCGGTGGTCTATAAATTGCATTTGGAGTGCGGACGCATGATTAATCTGTTCGACTGGCTGCAAGCGTTCCGTTCGGTGCTGCGGGCCAGTGAAGACCTGAATGAAGATACGCAGCAGGAGCAGATCGACCCGCAAATACAGTAAGTAATACAGTAAATACAGTTAATTACAACATTTTCAAATCTGTTTTTTGTTATGTATTGGGTATTAGAGGTCCATGTTTTACACTCAAACAAATTGTATTTAAGCTCTGTACCTAAAATATATATAAAATGTATATATATATATATATATATATATATATATATATATATATATATATATATATATATATATATATATATATATATATACTATATATATATTCTTGATCGCCATGGTAAGACTATTCGATTTAGTTGCACACGGATGATTTTTAATTTAAACGATTATGTTCAATGTACAGTTTTGTATCCCATATACACATAATTCTGTTTTTACACGGTCTTTTCTTACACGGTTTGAAAATTAAAAATGTTATATATGGTTATACGACTTTATTCCATTTTCACGCTTCATTTTGCATATGATCAATGTCTTTTTTTACAAGGTTTTTTCTTACACAACTTTTTTAGGAACCAATCTACCGTGTGAAAACAGAATTAGGTGTATCAAGATAAGTATACCCCGTCATCGTCCGATTGTTTAACAATCGCCATCAACGAACAATTGGTGCAATTAAGTCTACAAGTATTTTAGTTGAGTTACAAATTAGATTTTAAACATAAATTATACAGAAAAGGCCAATAGGTAAACTTTTTTTTTGCCTTTATCCCTGCTAGTATTTAATTTATTGATCAAATAGATTTGTAAATTTCCACACCATATGGTTTCAATTGTGTAATCTTATTCTAAATAATAACTTTTTTCAGAGCACGCTTCACCCGCGCCGTGGCCGAGCTACAGTTCTTGGGATATATTAAAATGTCAAAGCGGAAGACCGACCATGCCACTCGGCTTACTTGGTAAACTTCATTCATGCAACGCCTTTTGTTGCGGTTTTACTGTTTTTTTTATCCTCTATTTGCATGTAATTTATGATCTTTTATTAAAATACCTTTTGGTAATAAATAGCCGTCAGATGTGTGTTTATTTAGCGTTTACTTTAGAAATTGTAGCTATAGGGTGCGTAAAATGCATTTAAATAACTTCGGTTTGAGACGCGAGTTTCAGAAACAATTAAAAACTATTTCAAATCAAAATATCATAAATTCCCATCGAAGGCGACAGTGGCGTCATTTTACATAAGCTTTAATGTCTCGATAGCCGCCGCTATGCGTTCGATTTCGGTGCGCGATTCTGCCAGTTTCGTGTCATTGGTTGTTTGCACCTCCACTGGCACCTTTGCGGCATAGTCCACTGCCTGCATGGCCTGCGTCAGTTTGCTCACAGTCTGCACCAGTCCATCGCGCTTCTTTTGCAGCTTAGCAATTTCCTTGTCCGGTTCTATTAGTCCCTTAAGCAGCAGATGCACCTCGCACTGGCCGGACACTGTGAGGATGGCACAGCCGGCAGGCGGGATGCTGTCAAACGACACAGTCGAGTAGGCAACTGTGCCCAGGTCGTTAGAGTAACGTTTGAGTATGTCATTGGGGGCGGCATCGGTGCAAACTATATAGGCCTCCGTCTTTGTTTTGTTCGGCAAATTGTAGTCGGAGCGCGCAGAGCGTATGATGCGGGCTGCCTTCTGCACGAATTCCACATCTGCTTCTACTTGAACGTTGCGCCATGTCGTGTTGCCTATGGATATAAAAAATGATATAAAATTGGTTGATTTAAGGAAGTAAGGGTGGACCTTAAAAAATATTTTTTTTTCTTTATACCCTATGAAAGCAGAAGGTGTGTGTACCCCCAAGGTACATATATGAACAGAAAGACTAGGCTGTCTGCTGTCCGTCCTTTTAGAAACATCAAGCTTGGTATATAGACATGCTTGGGTAAACTTACAGAGAAACTTTATTAAAGTACCACATATTGCCCAAATGGTGCAACAATCACTGTTGGTTATATAACTTTTTTCCTTGTAAAGATATGACTAAATATAGTATTTGAGTTTTGTACCAACAACTAGTTCAGTATTGGTATATTTGCATTTTTTAGTGCCGCATCATAATATTTTATCCAAATCCGAACATACATAATATTGCTGTTATAAAAACGATTCATGCAACGAAGTATGAAGGGCTGTTAGGAAAGAGGCAGTACATTTTTTTGACTCTAATTCTAATGACCCTTGGATAACCGAATAAAGAATCAATTACAAGATAATATTATACAACTGAATACTTACTTGGATAGTTGGCCACGCATATGCTGGGAGTGCTATCTGCGCGAGGCAGTCGCTGGTAGAGCTCTTCTGTGATGAAAGGCATAAAGGGGGAAAGCAAACGTAGTCCGTAGTCGAGACACACGTACAGAGTGCGTCGTGCAGCCGCCTGCTGACCAGCACTGCCGCCTTGGAAAATGGGTTTCAAGCACTCTAAGTACACATCGCACAGATCGTATAACCAGAAGGCATAACAGGCGCTGGTTGCGGCAGCAAAATCATACTGCTCAAAACCGGCGTTGCAAGTCTCGATAGCCGCTGCCAGACGCGATAGGATCCAGCGGTCCATTGGATTGGATTCTTCTAACGACAACTCGGTATTGTACTTCTCGTTGCCAGTGAAATACAACAACGCAAATTTCGTGGCGTTCCATAGTTTGTTGCAGAAGAAACGATAGCCGAGCACACGATTAATATCCAGATTGATATCGCGTGCCTGCGTGATGTAGGCGCAGAGGGCAAATCGTAATGCATCCGATCCGCATTCGGGAATGCCCTGCGGGAAGTCCTGCTTCTGACCAGCCTTGGCTTTCTCAATCTCGCGCGGATCCAAGTTGGAGCCCACGAGTTGCGCGTGAAGACCTTCCAGAGTAATACCGTGTATAACGTCCATGGGATCGATGACATTTCCAAGTGATTTGGACATTTTACGTCCGTGTGCATCACGCACCATAGGATGTAGGTATACCTCTTTAAAGGGCAGTTTTCCCAGCAGCTTCTGGCCAAAGAACACCATGCGCGCCACCCAGAAGAACAGAATGTCGTGGCCAGTCTCTAGCAGCGACGTGGGATAAAAGGCTTGCAGGTCGGCGGTGTCGTCGGGCCAACCGAATACGGAAAAGGGATAGAGGCCCGAACTGAACCAGGTGTCCAGCACATCCTCGTCCTGTTGCAGAACAATTTTGGAGGCATCTACATTAAAGCGGGATGAGGCCTTGGCTAGTGCCTCCTCCTGACTCCGCGCTACAATCCAATACTGCTCGTCATCCGACTAGAAAATAAAAGATTGGTTCGATTTCTAAAACTGAAACAATAACGATGTTGTATATATTTTATATTACCACTGTGCCCAAAGCAGTCTAGAAGATTGCGAAACTTGGTTTAACACTGACTCGTTAATATGTAGAGTTGTGTGACTTTCCTTTTCAATAGTTACACGATTGATCAAATTTAAATTTTATATGTTTTTAAGTATCACAGCCCAAAATTCAAAGCCCCAAATATACAAGCCATGAAATTAAATCTTTAAAAGTGGTATTGATCTTAATAAAAGTATTAGCTGAAGATGATCTTAATTAAAAATTGCAGTCTTTTTAAGTAACAGATTAGAAAATCATGTTTTTCAATCGAATTTCAAAAACGAGATCTGTGTTTCAAACATAAATGTTGAACGGAAACTACACAACTCTACGAATCTAAATTTATATCAAGCACTTACCGAGCCCCCCTTTAGACTGGCATCGTTGAAGGTCACATAGTAGGCGGGTATGCGATGACCCCACCACAGCTGCCGCGACACACACCAGTCGCGTATGCCATCCATCCAGTGATACCAGGTCTTGGTGTGATGCTCCGGTATTATCTTTAGTTGGCCACTGCGCACAGCTTCTGTGGCGGCCACGGCCATGTCCTCACAACTCACGTACCACTGTGGTTTGATCAGCGGCTCCACCACATCCTTCGAACGACTGCAAATAGGCACCACCATGGGATTGTTCACAGTCTCACGGTAGAGGCCCAGCTGAGTGAGCTTCTCCAGCAACACCTTTCGACATGTGAAGCGCTTCATGCCCGTAAACTCGCCGTAGTCTCCAATTATGAAACCATCGTCATTGAATATGGTGATGAATGGCAAATTGCAGCGCTTTCCCACTTCATAGTCGTTTGGATCGTGAGCTGGCGTTATTTTCACAGCGCCAGTACCAAAGTTCATGTCCACGAACTCGTCGCAAACAATTGGCAAGCGACGATCGCAGAACGGATGAATCACATGCTTTCCGTGCAGATGCTTGTAGCGCTCATCTTGCGGATGCACAGCCACAGCAGTATCGCCCAACATGGTCTCAATGCGAGTGGTGGCCACAATGATCTCCTCATCACTGCCTTCCACTTTGTAGGCAAATTTAATGAGGACGCCGAATTCTACCTACAATGGAATCTATTTAAGACTCAAGCTTTTGTAAATATTTTACTATTGCCACCTTCTCTTCGTAGCCCGGTATGCTCAGGAATGTGCGACCCGGTATCTCCACCTTGTCCACTTCAATATCTGAGATAGCCGAGCGCAACGAACAACTCCAGTTGACGAGACGGGAGCTGCGGTAAATGCTTCCTTCTTCATGCAAGCGGACAAATGCTTCCGTCACTGCGCGGCACAGTTTTGGATCCATGGTAAAGGCCACGCGTGTCCAGTCATAGGAGGACCCCAGCGACTTTAGCTGATCGTAAATGCGGCCACCCTTCTCGCGTCGCCAAGTCCAAATACGCTCAATGAATTTTTCACGGCCCAAGTCGTGACGGGAAAGTTTCTCATCTCGCCATAACAGCTTTTCCACCACCACCTGAGTCGCAATGCCTGCATGATCACATCCTGGCACCCATAGAGTCGTTCGTCCCTTCATACGATGATAGCGCGTAATGGCGTCCTCAATGGCATTGGTAAGTGCGTGCCCCAAATGCAGCGACCCCGTCACATTCGGGGGTGGAATGACCATGATGAACTTTCCATTGGGATTGGCTTCACCAATGGAGTCGCGCTGCAATCAAAAGTAGACCGGTTAAGCAGCTTAGCGTCTCGAGCATCAGCGAAGCATTACCCCATACTCTGGCTTAAAGAAGCCCTGCTTCTCCCACCAACTGTACCACTGAGCCTCCACGAACCGTGGACTGTAGGCATCCGGCAAGGCACCACTAATATCTTTCTTTTCACCCGGCGCAGTGTTAGCCGTGTAGACGGCAGCCTCTTTTGCCTCTTTCGCCTTTTTCTGTAACAATACAAAAATGACAATGAGTAAACTTTCACTAACCAATCACTGACAATAGTAATATGTAATTGCAATTTCCGTTTTTTACATTCACTTTTGAACAACAACAAAAACATAACCTGTGCAAGTACATGTAGTTAACACGCAAACATACGCTATAATACCTCGGGCTTTTCTTTCTTTTCGCTTGTTGCTGGTGCAGCAGCAGCCTTTTTGTCTAATTTCGCTTGCAGTTTGGCCAATTTCTCAGCCTTTTTAGCCTCCTTCTCCAACTGTTTAGCTGTCTTCGGAACACCCTCACCGGCTGGTGCTTCACCGTTTATATTTTGCTGCTCCGGCATGTTAGATTTAATATCTTCAGCGTAGCTTCAGTGACTGCTTCAATAATTTGAGTCTTTTATACGGATTATTTCACAATGCAAGGCTGATGCAAATTTTGTGTTATTACTCACTCCACTGCGAAATTATTACGGACAACCCACAAAACAGATGAAAACGTGTGCACTAGAGATGGACCATAACCACTTGAATGGCTTAGCCGGGACACCAACCTGAGCGATATGAGTTATATGGCAACGCTATTTAGCGACAGGTGGCAAGACTTTGCTAGTCGACTGCGATGTGGTATCTTCGTAGCCACCATCTTCAATAAGTGCAGAAATTTAGCCAATTAGTTTGTGCGTGTTGTAGTTCTGAAAAGTTGATAAATGCCAAATACAGGTAGAATAACATGTTCAACACCTGCCGCACATTATGTATAAGTGTGCGCGCTGAAGTGCAAGTGCGAAATCGCAACCAAATGCTTTGATCAATGTTCCAAAATGTTCGTAGCAGTCGAGTTGATATTGCCCAGCAAAGGACGGGCCTTCAAATTGCCGCTAATCAATGCGCACATAAATACACAATATTAAAAACATCTGCATGCTCAATTGCATAGACAGACATTCAGTTGTAAAATAACTACTGAAACGCCACACACACACTTGTTTTATAGCAGTAGTTAATCTATTGTAAATAAACCGCACTGTGCTATTGTGAATGCGCACTGTTTTCGGTCACGTACGCCGAGCGTTGTTGTCGGCGATTTGTTATTTTGCGTATGTATATTGCAACGTATAGCAGCTGCATTAAAAAGACAGAGTGTGTAAGAACAATTGAAAAACATTAGTTAACCCGTCCAGGCTGCTGTGCTGCATAAACGCTATGTAAAACGTGACACATATCTGCGGGGGAAAAGGTAAGTTATTCTCCGACCCTATCCTTAAGTAATAGCCCACTTTTTATTTGCAAATTCAGAATTTGCTAAATCGATTTTTCCAAAACTTTTTGACTGATTGCCTCAAAATGCTCTCAGTTCGGTTAAGCGCAGTGCGCGTCGCTCTTTTTATTAGCTTGTTGAGACTTTACGCGTCATTCTATTGCATACTTTTTCGCCATACCAGGAGAGCTGCCTTTGTACTACAAACCTAAGTGTTAATTGCATTAGGCTGTGGTTATAGGTTGTCTTTGGTTGGGGCCAAACATTTCCCATGCCAGCGAGAAGAGCACGCCCTGAAAACGACATCCTTGAAGCAGCTGCCACAATAAACAATGATTTGACGTGTTAATAGCTTCTTCTAATCAAACATACGACTGTCAGTGTAAACAAAATGCATTCAACTACAGCAGGCGAAAAACAAACAAATGTTTGGATACCTAAATGAAAAGCAACTGACAACCCTTATAAAAATAAAAAAAAGGCGACAGAAATTAAACTAAACTCTTGCGGCAGACAGAGACGTAGACAGGAATTGTCTTTAAAACAAAGGCCAGACGATGACAACGGCAACTGACCTGCGCCACAGAGCAGACGGGACGCTTGAGAAACATCTGTCCCTTGGCATCGTCTACCTGCACTGGCAGGACTCACAAAAGTTCAATGTACGCCTGCGCAGACGGTTCGCAAAGCGGCTTTACCCTGTTGTCTTCGTCTGGCAGCTGCGCCAGGACTTTTCAGCAGCGCGGAAGTTGTGATTTCGAACGTGAGCGTAGCTGGTTTTTGGTTTTGCACTTCCTACTTAAATACAAACGGAAATCTCAAATGTTGTAACAGTGTAGCTCCTCCCCACTCGCAACTTGTATGTAATCGCTGGGCCGATCACTTGGGTCGTTTCTCTGTCCTGTCTCGGCCTGCATGCTTGCCGCCCCGGTTCCCAAACAAGTTGCTCAGAACGCAATTTGAAACTTTTTCCATGCCTTACAGTTTGGGGTCCTGTGTCTGCTTATTGATTGGGGCGATCGCGCCTGTCTCCGGGTGGTATTGAATTACAGCCAAACCCAGCATTTTTTCTTCTTTTTTATGCTTCTTGGCTGCATTTGCACACAGGCCTGTTTGCTGGTAGGGAATATGCTGGCCTTTTTGTTTCATCGCCTGTCTCCAATTAAACAACTTAACCCACTACAAATACCAAAATTTCTTGTTTTTTGTATGCACAATTTTTCTTCTATTGCATACTACATGCCATGACCTCACCTTCCTCTTTTGTTTATTCTTTTAAAGTCTTGAGCATTTCTGAGCTGCAAAATATAAGTATGTAGATATTGAAAAAACAAACAGTTCTTGTGTTTTGAAATATTTTAACCATACATTTTGTTTGTTTTCAATTTTGGGCGTTTAATCAATTTTCTAACTTTCTCTCCTTAAGCTTTACAAAATTGTTCCACTGCGAAAAATCGTTGAGCATCCAATATGTACCAAAATAAATATACGACATCCGACTTTTTTTAAATGTGACCAAAAATATATTACATTTTAGCTTAATGTCAGTTATTAGATCATTATATGAAGATGTAGAATCTCAATTGGGTAATATCTATAGACCAGCTTTCGAATAGCATAAGCTGTAATACATATGTGTGTTTTGTTTTTCTGATGCACCCCCTACCCGCTAACTTTAGTTTTCTCATATGAACATCTAGATCTCAGAGACTATAAAGCTAGAGACACCAAATGCGTTATATGTATAGGCTCTACCAGTGGAATTTTTCTTTTCTCCATTTCATTTATTCGCAAAAAATTTGGTCATTAATTTGTGTGTTTCTATTAATTCTCAACAAAAAACAGTTCAATTGATAAGACCCGATTAAATATAAAGTATGTTTTTACATTTTATGAATGAACGGACAGTTTCTAATAACAATTGGATTGTAACATTTTTCCCCTTCCACTAATTCTTTAGTGATTTTCCATATCTACCGTAGTTGTTACATTTTTTAATGAATTTACATCCGACTAATGCTCCTATTAAGTTTTATTCTGATAGGTCAATTGTAAAGAAAGTTATAGCCATAAATGTAATCTCTGTCCAGGCTCCAACGTTTCAACCATTTCACCAAATGAAACACGAATTTATTAGTTAAATAGTAGAATCTGCCTTAACAAATTGCTCGAAAGGCTTATTTGAATAAACATACCGACCCCAAATCTAAAACGATAGAAACAGCGTTCATTCTATCCTCTTACAGCTCTTGTACCGAACAGATGCAAAATCTGTCCCGAAACGCCAAACCTACACAATGGCGTATGCCACAGGGCCAGCCAACCACACATTTCTAATCGATATGAAGGAACTCCAATAGCAACAATGAAATAAAAATACCAGATGTTTCCAAATGCGAGTTTCCTTTGGTCCTCTCTCTAATCAATGCAGCAGCTAGCATTCAAGCAATGTCGGGCATGCAGGCGGCGATTTTTGAGCTCGCCAGGATCCTGGTCCCTAACGAACTCGCCTTTTTATATTTCACTCCATGCAGCCGGTCGCATTTTGTGCCTATTACCTTTGCCTCTGTTTCGTGGCAACTGCAATAGCATCGTCAACATCTGTTGCCCGAAATGCATTTCGTGCTTGGTCGTCAGCTGCTCCTCATAAAGTACTCCCAAGTGTAGTTGTTGTAGTCCTCGGCCTTTACTTTGTATGCATGTTTGTTGCATTGGTAGGCTCCTACTTTGTGAGTTTCTTGTCCGACCCTACAATGCAGTCTGTCAGATGTGTGTACGTGTATGTGTATGTGTGTGTGAGGTTGGCACATGCCAAAATCATCAGCTGTTTTCCGCAATGTTTATAAACAAAAAGTGAGGCAGTAACCCTTAGACGACATGTCTGGGCTTATTTTTGGAACCACCACCAAGTGAGCGTCCATCCACCACCAACACACAGTGGTGGGCCTGTGGCAGTGACAGTCACGACGACCTACATTGAGACATTGGCACACTCGCTGGCGTCTGGCGAAGTGGCGCATTGGCGCATGGGGTGGTTCCGCTCACACGCACGTTTTCAATTTATAGGTGCAAGGACGATGCCACGTTGTGGGGAAGCCCCAACAAACCCCCAACAAACCTACCCCAGCAGCAGCAACAACAACAGCGCAACAGCACCACCAACAGTAGCAACCACCAACATCAAGAACGACACCGATACCGGCACCGACCAGCCGACGACCACAACGACAACAACCGGAAAACCAAGTGCGCTCTTAGTCATGTGTTTTACCCACCACCTTCTCCTTTTGGCAGAGACTGCTCCGGTCATGTGGCATGTGCCGGCATGTCATCAACATCATCCACATAACGTCTTCGTCATTTTAGGGGTTTTCCCAAAAAAAAACCAAAACAAAAGTGCTCGCTGGTGGTAGTTAGAATCGCGTCTCATTGATTGCGCTCCCATTCATAAACCATAAACATACCCTTGTACTGTTTGTTGCTTTTTTGTTGTTGTCGCATCTCTAGGTGGTTGGCTTATATTTCCGGGCATAGTCAGGTGTACTACCCATATATTTATAGATGTGCATACTACCCCCGATGTCATCAATTGACGTTAACAAGTGTTTTGTTGGTTGGCAATTCAACAAGTTGCTCCTCGGTGGTTGTTGGCCTTTGGATATTGTTTGACAGTCGGTCGGTCGGTCGGTGGGTGTTATGTTTGGTCCTATTAAGGGTAATTAGAATTGGAACAACTTACACCGACATTTTTGGCTATTGACCTATGAGGATATGCCGGTATTTTCACACAGGGTTGAAGGTCAACGTAATCGCTTTAGTTGGGTTATATAATAGTTGTAAGATATCAGAAAATACAGTAAATGAAATATCACGCTATCAATACTATTAAATAGAATAACAAATAAAATCATACGAACACGTGGTTTGTCTTCTATTTTTAGCTTTTGGAAAGTACAATATGGTTTAAAATTATTTCAACAATTTAACAACTTGTTAAAAAAAAAAAAAATGAGAAAGATTGTGAAACTAATTGGACTAAACTTCCCTAACCGATATTATTTCAATTGCAACGGACTGTTTACCTTGGAAAATAGTTCTCGGCATCGCACAAAATGTGTAATTCTGAGTATCGTCTTTAATTTTTTTAAGAATCTCACCAGATGCGTGTTCAACCAAAACATTCAAGAAATTTATAACTACGAGTCACGTAAATCGTTTTTCAATTAAACAACAGAATGGAATCTATTATTTAGAAGAAAAAAAAGATAGTATTAAACCAAACAAAAATAAACTGACAAATGTTTTCTATTTGCGTTAATAAATATTGTGTACAAAAGGCATTTAGATGTTTTTTCCAAGACGATAGTCTTGGTATATGCTCCTTAGATTTATATGGGCTTCCGCACTCTTCGTTGAAGTTTCAAATTACTTGTCAAAAGTAGAGCATTGTGTCTGTGAAACGGACACAGAAACAAATTTACTTTCTTGCTGCAGACTGGCAAAGAGCACAACACTTGAACACCAAGTGCTTTCTTCCTTTTGTTGTTGTTTTTGCTTATTTTGGCGCTGCCAGCTTTCCAAAATGGCCGTCCGTTGGAGTGAGGCGGGCTACCTATTTGGTTTGCTAACTACAAAATCAATGAAATGCATGTGAAGACAAGAACGATTGGGAGAGCAAAAGCATCAAAAAAAAAAAAAAAAAACGCTGACGCTGCGCCAAAATTGGCTAACAAATCAAATAGAAATAAAAGGCGGACATGGAAGTACAAAAACAAAAAACAGTACATAATTAGATTGCGGCAGCTGGGCGGCAATTGCACAGACGGCGAACCTAATAAAAGCCAAGGTGCAATAATGAGAGAGTCGGAAAATAACTGAGAGGGGGAGTACGCTTAAAACTAGTGCGCATGTACTCGTACATATACTATGTATGCAGAGAGCGGCAATGGTGTATGCATGAAAGAGAGCCAAAAAGTTGC